ATCTCTCCCGGGCTTCGCCCTCGCCGCTTCTCGCCCCGCCCCTCCGTCGGGCCTCCGCAAGCCCCGCCCCCAAGCACCCTGCGGGACGTCTCATTGATCGGCGGTTTCTAAGGGGCGCGGCTGGAAGCTCCGGGGCATGATGGGAATCGTAGTTTCCGGCGGAGAACCTCCGCGGGGAATTGCTGTCAACAACGATAGAGCATAGAACTATCTATTAGAATAGATATACGATAGAGAGGAGGGTTCGACGCCCGTTTTCATTGACGGCTCGAGATTCGGGCGTTGCAGAGGCTAAAGTAGATGTGGCATCGGATATGAGTGACAGACTAGGGCAGTGGTCCCCAACCATGGGCCTCCAGATGTTCTTGGACTACAGCTCCCAGAAGCCTTCACCAGCACCTCTGCTGGCCAGGATTTCTGGGAATTGAAGTCCAAGAATATCTGAGGCCCAAGGTTAGGGACCACTGGACTAGGGCTTAAAAGACTTGCTTAGCCGTAGAAAGTTGCTGTGTGGGGTGGAACTGGTGAAAGCACTCTTTAAATATATCTCATTTGCCTTCAGAGCTCCATTAGGGTCGCTATAAGTAGGTTCTGACTTAAAAGCTATTAAATATCTCACTCAGGGCCAATATGAATGAAAGAATTAATACAGACCATCAAGTGTTAGGATGTGGGACTGGAAACCCAGGACCAAAATCATCCACACGTTTGTATTTCTGCTCACCATGTGTGGGTCTGAAAGCTGGACACAGAAGAAAGCTAACAGGATGAAAAAAAATGGATTTGTTTTATTTACAGTGGGGTCTTGACTTGAGAACTTAATCCTTATTGGAAGGCGGTTCTCAAGTCAAAAAGTCTGTAAATCAAGTCTCCATTGACCTACAGTGCATTGAAAACCGATTAATCCCGTAACAGGCCGTTTTTGTTCCATTTTGGTTTTTTTCTGGTCTGGAAGTCAAATCTCAGGCTGCAAGTCAAACCTAAATTTTGCGGCCAGAGAAGTCTGTAACTCACAAAGTCTGTAAGTCAAGACGTCTATAAGTCAAGGGTCCACTGTATTTATTTATTTATTTAATTGATATTTATTTTATTTAATTTATTTAATTTGATTGAGAAAGACAAACAAGTGGGTCCCTGATTAAATCAAGCCTGAACTATCTCTGGAAGCAAAAATGCTGAAACTGAAGGGACATAAGGAGAACGCAGAATTCTCTGGAAAAAGACAATAAAAAGGAAAGCTAGCAAGCTGGGAAACGTGGAAGGCAGCAGGAAAAGAGGACTAAATATGAGATGTAATAACTCCCATCAGCTTGAGGCTACAAGAGCTGAGCAAGGGTGGCTGAGGACAGATGACATTTGGGAGATGGCTCCTTCATAGGGTCCCCATAAGTTGGAAGCCACTTGACAGCACATAACAGCAGCAACAACGGGGTCACTTTAACTCTGAGGCCGTTTGACAGCACATCGCACACAAGTTTCTGGGCAATATAATTAAGCAAGGTTTTTAAGGCGGATTTTGGATCTGAGAAAAGAGGTTTCCATGGTAGCAAATGGACATGGCGTGGGCGACGCCTGGGAAAAGGGAAGGGGGTGGCACCCAACGGATAATCCATGCAATTGTGTCCATTGCATTAAAATAAAATTAATTGCTCATTAAAATAAAATTTCCTCTCCTGTAGGTTAACTTGTTTGGGGGATTTTGTAAGGCAGGCGGTCCTGTTCCACCCTGGTTGAGGCATGTGAAGCTGCTGATTAGTAAAGCCCCAAACCAAGGAAAGGCTTCGGTAAAGTTGAGGCTCCTTGGATTCCAAGAGTCAGGTTCTTGGCTTGCTGGAGGTCCAGGTTCAAGCAGGTCCACTGCCTCATAAGGATTTGGAGTGTCTCCTCCCTCAGCATTTGGCATGACGAGAGGATTCTTCTGCTGAGATCATGACAGTATGCCAGTGGCTTTGGGGCAGAAACGGATGCAGTGTTACTCTTTAAATTGCTTTACCATTGCTCTCGGTGATCAAGCTGGAAATTTTAAAATACAAATGTTAAGCGTCACTAGCCAGTCGCTAGCCCCTCCTCCCACAACAATATGGAATAATACATACTTTTACTTCAATCAGATGCTGAGATAGAATTCAAGAAGACAGGAATCTCCAGCGAAATGCAATACTGTACAAACCTTTTTCAGTGAACGTAAAACAGGACAAAGGCTCCTGGCCCCTTTGTTAATTGTGTACATGATAGCTTTAGTTTAGTGGGTTTAGTCTTACTTCTATTCCAGTCGAAATTCCACTTCCTACACAGCCGTTAGAAAGGGAGGAGGCAACGCTGGACGTATTTTGTTTCTTCTACTGTACTACCATTCCAGAACCGTCCACGCAGAATGCTCACTGGGAATCGTGGAAACAGAGATCAGCAGTATAGGGTTGGGATTACTTTGCTGACACACAGCCTGCCTTAAGTACAGTATGCCATCATCTCCCTCTATGAGACTATCCATATATTAAAACCATCAGGAAAGGCCTTTCTCTCGGTCCCACCACCTTCATAGGTATGTCTGATGGGGACATAGGAGAGGGCCTTCTCTGTGGCTGCCCCCAGACTCTGGAACTCCCTCCCACTGGAGGCCAGGCTGGCCCCATTTTGGCTGTCCTTCTGCAAGCAGGCGAAGACCTCTCTCTTCACACAGGCTTTTCCTTAGGGACTGTTTACTCGAGTGGGATGTTTAAAATACTGTAGACTGTTGTACCTTCCTGCTTTGAATGTTCTTTGGTGTTCCTTATGCTTTTTTGTGTGGTGTTTGTTTTATCTTTTTTAGTATTTGCATACTCTCTGTTCTCCTGCCAACCTAGCAGTTTGAAGGCATGCAAATGCGAGATCAATAAGTACCACCTCGGTGGGAAGTTCATGGGCTTCCGTGTCTAGTCGCGCTGGCCACGTGATCACGGAAACAGTCTATGGGATTGCTGCCTCTACGACTTGGAAACGGGGATGAGCACCGCCCCCCCTTGAGTCGGACATGACTGGACTAAATGTCAAGGGGAACCTTTACCTTTATACTCTCTGTTGTTAGCTTTTATCTTGTATTTTAATTATACAAACTGCTTTGGGTCCTTTTAAGAAGAAAGGCGGGATAACAAAATATTTTAAATTAATAAACACCTTGCCTTCAGGTGAAGAATGTTGTGCTGTTGCCCTGCTCAGTGTAACTTAGTTTAAAATGCGACAGAGGAGCCCGGCTGCTGTGTTGGGGACCTTCCCACAGGGCCCTTTTACCTGGAAGACATGTTCAAGTGCAAGAAAACGCCAGAGGCCGGGGCGTTTGGTGTGTGCAGCGAAGTTCCAGGAAGCATCTCCCCTCTCTACTCCCAGGTTGTCTGGAAACTGGGGGAGGGACTAGGGTTGAAGCCACTGTAGCAGCAACAGCCAGCCTTTAAACTCTGGAAGGCTAGAGAGCTGAACGGGGGCAGATTGTGCTGGCTGGTTGGCTTCCAAGGAAGACAGGACACAAACCTGGTAGCACACCATCTCCTGTGCTTTGCATCCCGCCCCACCCCACTCCCCAAAAAATAAGTCGGAATTTCTTCCAAACGAGGTAATCTGCTATTGGAAAAGTTTTTGTCTGGGAAGAACTTGAGTCTCTCCACTGTTGTTCTGCTCCAGTAAAAGAAGAACCATCATGGGAAGTATTAGTTTTGGGGTGATCCTTGCTATTCTGGCCTCAGTCATCATGGCTATCAATGCTTTTGTGATTACTACCCTGGTTCGGCCGATCTGGAAGACTGGATATTTGGGGCTGTGTTTTGTTTTAAATCTTGCCGTCGCCGATGCCTTGGTTGGCTTTAGCATAACAGGTCTTGTCACTGAAGAGCTGTATGGTCCCGAGCACAAGACCCCCCAAAAGTACTGCCTCCTACGCATGGCCTGTATTACTTGCCCCTCGGCTGCCTCCATCTTCACGGTCATCCTGATCTCCTTTGACAGATACCTGGCCATTGAGCATCCTTTCCAATACCTGAAAATTATGTGCGCTCCAGTCGTTGGGGCTTGTGTTGGAGGGCTCTGGCTTTTGGCCAGCTTGATTGGCTTCCTCCCTGTGATTGTTCGCCGCTTCCAGCAGAAGGATTATCAAGGGCAGTGCACCTTCTTTGCAGTCTTCCAGCCCACGTACATGCTCACTGTCTTCTGTGTTGGATTCTTCCCAGCTTGCTTTGTGTTCATCTACTTTCACTGCCATCTGCTGAAGGTGGCCTCTCTGCACGCTCAGCAGATCAGAGAGCAAGGGCCCCCTGGGTCAGCAGCAACCTGCCTACCTCCTCCAATCTCCAGTGCCACAAAGGCTGTGCGCACCGTGGCCATCCTTGTGGGGTGTTTTGTAATATCCTGGTCTCCCTTCTTTATTGGGAGCCTCATACAGATCGTATGTCAGGACTGCCCCCTGCATTACGTTCTTGAGCGTTACCTCTGGGTGCTAGGCATGTGCAACTCTTTGGTGAATCCTTTGGTTTATGCCTTCTGGCAGAAGGAGGTGCGTCTGCAGATCCATCAGATGTGCTTGTGCATGAAGATGAAAGTCTTCCCCCTGTTCTGTGTTGACAACCACCCTCATGCTCCCAGCAGAACTGTGGTCTTGGTGCACGCAATCTCACTGGCCCAACCTGTGGAGTGACATGGTAAGAGCAGTGCAAGCTAAAGAACATTGTTTTATACTTGCAGTCCTTAACATGGGCCAAAAAGAAGCTGCACTGTCTCAGAGCAGCAAAATAGGACTCTCTCCTCTTCCTCCAAAGGCAAGAAGGAAATTTAGAGCGTCCCTGTGGATTAGCCTTTCCTGAACCACCACCTCCCTTCTATGTCAGACTACAAATCCTGTATGCCATTAAGTATGTTCCTAGAGACAATCAAAGCTGCCATCCAGTGCATCTGGATGACACCAGTTTAGAAAAAGCTGTTTTAGGTGCTGTTGACGGTAAAGCAGCTTCAGCCGGCAGTGTGTAACAGGTTTTGTGCCAAAATTCCTCCTTGTTCTTCTATCCCATCCACTCTTTTTCTCCTGTCTCCCCATGTGGGAGGACTGAAAGAATTTTTAAAAAGTATGTCTTCTTGTTGTTCATGTTCTACCAGAGCCTGGATGTCCTCACAGGTATAACAGCTTGGGATGTGGGAATGTTAAATAATTATGTTGTGCTGCACTGAAACCAATCCCTGGCGTTCTTCAGCCAAAATTGTATTCTCCTTCTGAGAATATTTCTTTTTGCACTTATTTTTTCCTTGAATGATCAACCGTAATAATCTGTACTTTTCATTTCTAATTCCACTATGATGTATTTCAGCTTTCTACATATTATTTATGATTCTAAATCATAAATAATTTTAAATCAGTTAGCTTTATTACTTGTTTGTAAGTGACTCATGATTTGGAAAATTCTTATCGTTCCAGTAATAAACTGGTATTTCAAGTGCTTCTTTTTCAGTGTCCATAATCCACAACAAAACTAAGAATACATTGTGCTATAAATGCACATGCTCAGTACCTATTTTTATTTAATTTTTAATTTTTTTGCATGTGACAGTCTTCATTATGAGGGTGCTACTCCTGGCTATTATTCTCACTTTTGTTGTATGGCTATGATCCAGTTGTTCTTCCAATCAAAGGTACTGTACTTATGTTCGTCAGCACACTTCACATTTCCTTTTGCATCTTTAACTCTATTTCTTAGGCTGCTTGCTTTTTTGTGCCACAAGCTTGACTTTTTTAAATGTTCATTTTTACACCATGTTGATTACCTATTTCATTGACTTCATGGAACAACCTGGGCCAACCATCCATATTGTCAGCTAGTAATACTATTGATCTGTCATCTGCATATTGTATTGAATGTTGTTGATAGCCTCTCTATTGCCAGTGAAATTGCCATTTTGAATCCTCAGATGCTCCTCTAAAGCTGGCCTCGGTGTGCAAATTGAAAAGTCTAAGTCAATAAAGAAAACGTAAAAATATCCATGTTTGCTGTCACAGCATTTATCTCCAAGTATTTCTGGGCACAATAGCACTTCTTAGACTCTGATTACCTCTCTGAATCTCAACTGTGTCTCTCCCACTCATTCTTCACACATCGTATCGATACTGTAACATACAAAACTGCTGGATAGCTCAGTAGTTTAGGTACTGTATCTGATTGGGAATCAGATTTCCCCACTGCAACTCCTTGACAAGGGGCAGACTTGATGTCCATAGTGTCCGTTACAACTCTACAGCTCTAAGATTGCTATTACTAAAGATTGCTAAACTGTCATCGCTAAGCGAGGCAAGGTCCCGATCATCGCTATGCGAAATTTCCCCATAGGGAACATCACTAAACGGAGCGCAAAATCGCTCCAAAAACCTCATCGCTAAGCGAATACATCGTTAAACGAGGCAATCGCTAAGCGAGGCACCACTGTACATATTATCTTTAATACAACCTTAGGCATATGGCATATTAAGCTTATTGTTCTGTAATTACTATATGTTTTGACATTTTTCTTTTATAGCATATAAATAGCTAGAAAGCTGGTTCTGGCTTTGGGAATATTGGTACAAGTATTTGGGGATGAAGTTTGCTTGTGACCAGAGCAGAAGAGCATTTACCAAATTTGGGGTGGGCCACCCATCTGAGGGTCTTGAAGGGTGATGGTGGGCCTTTGACCTACTTGAGGCATAAATCAACACACTCCCGGAGTCTCTTAAATGCTGCAGTTCTCCCCCCCCCAAAAAAATATGGGCCTGATGGGTGAGCTGAGGAGCTCTCTCAGACCCCTGAAACAAATGTGCTCTTAAGGTGGCAAAATATGTTTGGCATGTTCTTCAAGGAAGCAGCTGGTCAGATCACTCCATTAATCAGATTAAGAACATTAATTACAAAATTAGATACTTAGGAACATCAGATACTTAGCTTGTAGTAGGATTATGTCTCAGTTTCTGTGTGTATACATATGTGTGAATTCTTTTTGGCATCTGTAAATTGCATCTATATAGCCTTTCTTAGTACGATCATTAAAAAAAACCATGATAATGTCTGTGACATTTCCAGTTAATTGCAATACTTTATCTCCCAGCATCTGCTACTCTAGATGCCCACCTTTTTTTTTGCAGAATAGCAGGGCTTGTCCTGGCTCTGTGTTTACAACAGAATACTCACTGACATCTAGAGTGGATTCCTGATGCATCCACATCCTCATTAATGCACGTGTTGTGTAGGAGAAAGAGCAGCCTATGAGGATAAGACTGGGCTGTCAAGGTAGTGCCTACCAAGCGAGCAGACAGAAAGCGGAAATACAGCTTTGCTCATGATCGATGAAGTGTGAGGCTGTTCGTATGAGGAAGGAAGCCAAACAAATCAACCACCTTGCTTTGACGCAAGTGTGGACTACATGAGATAAGAGGTCATAGCAAGACCTGTGCTCACTTCCAAATAATCTCCCACATCCTGTCTGCAGTGTATTAAATATAAAACGTTAACTATGAAAAGTGATAGCTAAACATCCGCATAACCGCCGTCCTGCTGTATATGTGCTTGTGTACTGTGCTATCAATTCAGAACCAACTTACAGTGACCCTAGCAGGGCTTTTAAAGTGAGAGATATTTCAGGAGTGGTTTTACCAGTTCCACTCCCCCAGTGAGTTTCCACGGCCAGGTCAGAATTCAAACCCTGGTCTCCAGAGTCCGAATCTGTCACTCTATCCACTGCACCGTGCTGGGAATCCATATAAAGCATCTTAAATTTTCTAAGCACTGTATAGGGACTGAAAGCTTAAGACAGCTGCCAGTCATGGGCATGTAGAAGAAAAGAAGACCAAAGCGACTGTGAGAAGAACAGATTCTTTTCAGGCTGAGAGAGAGAGGTCTCAGTTATAGTAGACGTTCTTTCTGGAAGGTGGAAAACAATTCTATTTATTTAGTCTCAGTTATAGTAGACGTTCTTTCTGGAAGGGGAAAACAATTCTAGTTACACTTTTTAAACTAAAGCTTCTAACAAATGTGCTTCTGATGACCTGTGATCCCACCCATCTGGTATATTCTACTACTCTCGGCGGCTAGTTACACCCTTTAAAGCTTCTACCAAATGTGCTTCTGATGTTGGTTGACCTGTGCGACAGAACCCTAGCCAATATTTCATATTAGCAGGAGAAACAAGGTGATCGGCTGGGGGAATGCAGGAGGCCAGCCTATCCTGGAAAGCCCGAAGGAGGGTGGGCTAGAAGAGCTGGACAGGAGAAGTAACCGCGGAAAGAAGTTGAGTATTTTGGCAGTTGGGCTGTAAATTCAAGAGAAGCTTATACTGAATTCTCTTTTCCTTACCAGTAATAAAGAACACATCACATTTCCCCCTCCCATTCTTTAACCTCTTGGTCTATGTTTACGACTGGAGTCAAGTCCAGTGATAAAGAACACACCACATTTCCCCCTCCCATTCTTTAACCTCTTGGTCTAGTATATGTTTACGACTGGAGTCAAGTTCATAAAAGAAAGGTTATTTTAGAAGTGGGAGGCCTGGGTAGAGGCTGGTCACAGCATGAAAGACACCTAAGATCCAGGCAATTTTCTATGGGTTGCTTCCAAAAGGACACACGGAAAGTCACGCTCCTATCCTGCAGCCTGAATTCCCTTATGCTCTTCCTTTCTACTGGCTAGAACCTCCGTATCGTACAATTCTAGTTGTTCTCCAAACCTCTGCTCCTGATAGAAACTCTGGGCTCCAGTTTTCTGATTTAGATTATTGTTTAGATGCATGTTCAAAAACAGAAGATGTCTGTTGAAAAACAGACCTGTTTATTTAAGCCTTCACTCTTCAGTCACACCTACCACCCATTTCACGAAGAATATAAATAGTTTGGCAGTTCTGTTTATTGGATGTTTTTCTTATATTTATATAAACACTATGAAATGATTTCATCTCCATGGTTTATAAATGCTTCCAAATAAATAAATTGACAGTTTATCTGGGAGTGGCAAACAGAAGGGAAGTCCATCTGGTCCAGATCTATCAGCAAGGGGATTAAGGGCAGCTGGATTAAGTATCAATGTGTATGTTTTCTTTTCATTATCTATTGCTTATAAGCAACTTGAGGATGATTAAAATGAAAGGCAGGGGATCACATTCGCAACCTTCCTAACAGCCAAATAATTCCCAGAGCTGTTTAAAAGCAGCAAGCACTAATACAATCGCCCATATTCTTAGCAAAAATAAAACCCTGAAACTGCTCCCCACTAACCTTCAAAAGGAACAGGTTATCTGTCAGATGCCCTGGGACTAAAGAGACTGCAGAAAGGACGGTTCAGTCTTGAATTCTGTATTGGAAGCAGGCAAGTGTTGACTTTCCAAATGGAGAGCGATGACTCTCAAAACCCTTTCTCATTGACAAGGATGGAAAAGGCTTAAAATGTCCAGAGACAGCAAGGTTGCTGGCCCCAGTGATGATCAAATGCCTGAGAATTATGTATCATTTCACTTTGCAGCAAAAACTGCCTCGTGACACTATGGTTTAGCTGGCCAAAGTGCATTTGCTGTTTCGGAGGAAGGCAGAGAATCATTCATAAAATACACCTCCATTCAGTTTTTGGATCTGCAAGAAGGGAGCAAATGCCAAAGAAGAGGAAATGCTTTGTAAGGAAGATTCAACATAGAGAGAAGCTGCTCTGCACATGAGTAACTAACTGCTTGGCTGAGATGCGAGAAATTGTAACCAATGTATATATTCCTCAAGGACAAATGAACTGCTGCATATTTTTATTTTTTAGAATTGTATACAAACTTTAACCCTGTTGGATCTTGGGGTCCCCACCCCGCTGGGCACCCAAAAGCGCACTTGTTTTATTTAACCAATGTATATATTCCTCAAGGACAAACGAACTGCTGCATATTTTTATTTTTTAGAACTGTATAGAAACTTTAACACTGTTGGATCTTGGGGTCTCCACCCTGCTGGGCACCCAAAAGCGCACTTGTTCTATCTGAATTGCCTTTTCCTCCAAGAAACTGTCTGCTTATTATTATTGCTCAAGATTTGGCTTAATAGAATTAGCTGAGACACCGAGTTCTGGGAGTAACAGATCCAACTGCTTCCAAGAAAAATAAGTTAATATAGTCAAAATCTCATCAGGACAGAAATAAATTCTGTTTGATTATTAGAATTCTAATAATTTGGACAATCCAATAATTCTAGCCATCCCCTTTATTGAAATGAACAGTTTAAAGATTTCCAGCCACTGACTGCACACATGCATTCTGCTCAGAATAACATACTATAGCCACTGCTGGTGAATGCACCTTTTCCATCTCCACCTTCACATCAGGAAATGCGGGAGTAAAGTGGCCATATACTGCTGCTTTATCTTGCCTCTGTGCACAAGGGAACAGAAACTAGAATGGAAAATATACTGTAGAGGAGAAACCAAGCTATTATTGCAGGTCTACAATTTTATGTATTACTAATGTGAGGAAGACTTTGCTGGGTATTAGGTTGTACATTCTATTCAATTGTGAAAATATTTTTCAAGCTTTCTGCAGTACATGGAGATATAACGTACCAATGATTTCATGTTTGGCAATACTAATAGAGTGTTTTTCAACCAATCAACCATTAATAGTTGAATTAGGGAAAAGCTCAGAAGACATCCTTCCTGTGAAGGGGTCGCCTCTGGCGGGCCATCAGTCCTCCCCCGAACATGCCAGCGGGGTCTGTGGATCTGGTGGTGAGCAAAGGGCAAGGACAAGGGATGGAACAGCCCTGCAGCAGCTGGAGACCATGAAAGGGTGTGTGTGGAAGGGCACTTGCATTGAGCAAAGGGCAAGGACTACGGATGGAACATCCCTGCAGCTGGAGGCCACGAAAGGGTTTGTGTGAGAGGGCAAGAGGGACACTTGCATCCAGTGGGGGGATCTTCTGACCTAGAGGAAGCTGTGTGGGATGATGCCAGGGAGGGGTGGGGAGATTCTCCGAGTGCAGATAGGGTGTGAGCCTCAGGTGAGAACCATGAAGCCCCCTGGAACAAGGTTCCTCCTCCAGTTCAGGGTCCCCAGAGGACAGGCCATTCAACCCCAGGAAGACTGCTTTTCTCGCTGCTTTCTGCCTTGATGCCAAGCCAGCCTCCAACAGCCTCAGCTGAGCCAAGCCACCACCCCCCCACGCCCCAAGGCAATGCTGGAGATGGAAAGGATAAAAAGAATGGCAGCAGCCCTTCCAGAAGCAACAGCCACAATCACCGCAGCCACCACCACCACCAGTTTCCACAAGCCTTAAGCCTTGTCCAAGCTGCGGGCTTGTCCTGTTTTGCTGAAACACCAAACTTTTTTCCAGTTGGGGTTTCACTTTTTTGGAAAAAGGGATGCCCCGCCCCCTTCCTGCTGTCCCTGTCGCCTTCCTACCTAGTCCTGCCACCTGAGGTCAAGGTCTCTAAAAGTGGCATTGGCAGAGGACGAGACGGCAGCGGGACACCAAACTTTTTTCCAGTTGGGGTTTCACTTTTTTGGAAAAAGGGATGCCCCGCCCCCTTCCTGCTGTCCCTGTCGCCTTCCTACCTAGTCCTGCCACCTGAGGTCAAGGTCTCTAAAGGTGGCATTGGCGGAGGACGAGACGACGGCAGCGGCAAGACCAGGCAGGGAGGTGACAGGCGCAGTGGGAAGGGCATCTGTTTTGCTGAAAGTGAAGCATCAAGTGGGGAAAAAAAATCAACATTTCATTTTGCCTAAATGGGGTCCCCGATCAGTTCGCAGTTCAGTTCATGCCCATTTCTAGTCATGATCTTCCTTGAAGGGTAATTTTCTTTGCTTTCAAATAGGCCTCTGACTTGCAGAGCTGTCCTCCCTTTGCTAGCAGTGTGCAAGATGTCAAATTTATCCACAAACTGATATATTACCTTGGATCCTGGAAACCAGTTTCAAATAGTAGTGTGAATTTACTAACTGGGAAGTATAATAGATAATGCCCATTTCTAGTCATGATCTTCCTTGAAGGGTAATTTTCTTTGCTTTCAAATAGGCCTCTGACTTGCAGAGCTGTCCTCCCTTTGCTAGCAGTGTGCAAGATGTCAAATTTATCCACAAACTGATATATTACCTTGGATCCTGGAAACCAGTTTCAAATAGTAGTGTGAATTTACTAACTGGGAAGTATAATAGATAAATAGACTTTGCTTTCAAATAGGCCTCTGACTTGCAGAACTGTCCTCACTTTGCTAGCAGCATGCAATATGTCAAATTGATCCAAAAACTGATATATTACCTTGGATGCTGGACCCCAGTTTCAAAGAGTCGTGTGAATTTACTAATAGACTATGGCAACATGCTCTGAATGGAGGATGTCTAGTAGGGGTGAGAAGGCCAATTCGAGAGTGACAATCCCTTCCATGCTGAAGACAAATATATTTTGTCCCTTGTCCAGCTCCCTGATTTGGCTGTTTTTGGGACTGCCTCTTTATTAATTATAATAAACAAACAACTCTTTGGATACCTCTTGGTGTCTAATTTGTCACTTAATAAATGTTAATATTCTTAAATATGCAAATAGAGAAGTTGGGAGCTATTTCCATTGTGCTGGCTCTATTGCCCTTTGATTGTGTTTGTACATTCAAAAAGAAATAAATGAATGTAAATGAAGATGCCCTGAAGGAACAGTAACAGATAATACATAGGGTCAGTAGAGCAGAAGTGTCATTTGCCAGTTCCCACCAGCAGCTATTTGGAATGCTGCCCATCAAAAACATGGGGACAAAAAAGGAAACTGTAAGCCCGTCTGGACAGTGAGGGGGCAGAAAAGATGAGGATGGAAATCTTCCACTGACAGCCACATAAAATTTTCTGCATATACGGTCCCAGTTACATCATTGTAGCGCACACTGTGCAGGTTCAAAGGCTATGACAGAGTATTAGAGTTCTCTTTAATCTCCCATTTCTATCCATCTATAGCTGAGGCTATCCAGCAATAAGCTAAGCATAAAGGCATCACAGACACCTACTGCAGGGTTATTTTTATTACTTCCTTGCCCTGCCCTCCACCTGTTCTTCAATCTATAATTGAATTTCATCAGCAGGATAACTTTTCTGTCTCAGTGGGCATCCCCATTCCTATCATGTCTTAAATGTCTACAACCTTAAAAAGCAACTCATTCAACACTTGCCTGCAATAAAACTTTATTCACCCACCTCCCACTTCAGCAACTTCACATATAGAGAATTCCTTTGATGCAATATTATTCATCTTTCAGAAGGGGAAAATTACACACCTACCAATCATTTTCAATTCCTTTCCAAGAATGTCTACCAGCTTTTGGTTAAAATAGTCAAGGTGTTTCTTTCTGGCATCAACAAACCCCAAAGCATCTGTGACGCCAAATATATTGGCCAGTGCCCTATCGAGCTTTCAACGAGATGAAAGGGCAACAGCAGCGCAGAATCACATCACTCACGGAAGCACTACTGTTGCATAGGGTTTGATACCCGTGCACAAATCTGCACTTTGCTTGCTTGCCTAGGGAGGCATGACCCCCTATGCTGATGGGACCTTTCACTCCCAGAAGTTCAACTGAATACTGTATTGGCCAATTTCTAGTAATACACAGCCTAATATTTTGCTGCACATAAAAACACAGATAACTGTGTTGATTCATAAATGAAAGCATTTACTGATTCCAACTGTGCTATGTTACCCAGCACTAACGTAGGAACTTGGATATGTCAAATCCATGAGTTCCAGCTACTCTATTGTCTTAGAAATGCCAAGCAACTTTGTTTTCTTTATACGAGGGTAGGTGTGATATAAATCCAATAGTCTAAACTGGGCTTAATTCAATATTACACCAATGTTGAGATTAACTTTAGCTGCAGACCTCAAAGCCAGAACAATCTTGACAATTTTTTGACATTTCTCTTTCTTCTCCCTTCTCTAATGCTCTCTTCACCTTATCTGATGAAGAATTCTGTGGGACTTTAAAGCAGACATGCTTTTGGTGTTGTATGAATGTCCTAACAAAAATTACTGCCTAACTCTGGATGAAGTTGGTTTATTACATCAAATCAATACAGGCTCCTCTCCAATGCCCTGCTTTTCCAAATGATCGAGTCTTCCTCCTATCAAAATATATACTCTTCTGATTGTTAAGTCTGCATTATGATCATAGTCCAACTACAGTATATATTTCCATCAAGGTAGCAGCACTTTGAATATTGTACAACTAAGTCTTTCCCCACTGTTTCCACACTCTTCACAAACGTTCTGTTTCATTACGGCAGCTCATCTCTAGGGCTTTGTATTCTGTGACATCACAGCAGTTTGAACATGGCATCTGAACGGGCAACTCTACTTTTCTTGGAGGAACCACCTCGTTAACCACATCGCCTGTGTGTAACAATATTAAAAAGACATATAAAACGGCACAACATTCCAATAAATAATTTAATAAGGTCACATGACAATGGAGAGACTGCAGCATCCTCCTTAAAATTCCCCCTTGCCGGAGACACTGGATCGGGAAAGGCACAGCTTGCTGCAAATCTCACCTTGCAAGAAGCTGCACCAGGAAGGACCTCTGAAACTCACATGACTCTTCACAGAAGATACAGACTTGGACCCATCCACTCTCCCCCCTTACGCTCCACCCCAGCTCTTTTGGGAAAGCACATACAACAGGATCTGAAGAGGTCTTTCCCCCTTTCACCCAAGGCACACTCCCAAGACTGAGTGTTCAGACAGGCAAAGAAGGCATGAAGATGCAGGGATTAGGGGGAGGTGAGCGGGAAGGTCAGCTGGATCGCCAATCCGAACGGATCCCTAGAAAGGGAGCCTCTTCAGCTGCTCATAGGTGATAAAAAACTGACACAGAGTTAAGGAAAATCCTTCAGGAGTCTTGGTTTGCCATTCTACCCCAGTCCACATTTTCAGTGATTCAACTAACCAAGTAGAGGGCAAAAGGTACAAAGCAAGCAGCCTATAAAATTCAAGCAGCCTATAAAACCAGTGTATTTGGAGCAGAGAAGAGGCAATGCACAGAAGTCTGCAGAGTGTAACTTGAGCCCCTTATTACGCATCCTGCGTTCTGGAATTATAGAATCAGTAGCTGACTGAGTACGTTCCAGCCTGGGAAACTCATCTTCCAGCACTATCTCTTGTTCCATTTTAGGCTGTTTCAGCATAAGGTTTTCAAAGTAAGAAAGATTCAGCAGTGGTTTACAATGTCCTTCTTCTACATGGTACTAATGAAAGTTAGCTTACATGTCACCACTGTTATCTGTGAAAGATCCTCTGCCAGCATCACTTTCAGGTACCATTGCTGTACAATAGCTGCCTTCCCAAGATTTCTCCAACCCACCACCATTGGAATGATCCATTTTCTGCTGCTGATGAAACTGTTACTCCTAAAGAGGGTGGATGCATCTTAGTCTGCTGTCGGAACTGTGAACCTTCTGCCTTGGGTTGAAGAGGGTGGATGCTTCTTAGTCTGGTGTCGGAACTGTGAACCTTCCGCCTTGGGCGACTCTGCTCTCGGCTTCTCTGACAAACTCAAATTCTCTCACTACATTAAGGATGACCACATTAATGCAGCCTTTGTTAGGCTGTGTAACCTAAAACAGCATTTTCCTTCTTTGCAGCCACACTGCACTGTTAACTCATATTTAGCTTCTGATCTACAACAATCCCAAGATCTTTCTTGAATGCAGTACTGGTGAGTCAAACACCTCCCATTTTGTAACTGTCTCTCTCTTCTTCCTAGGTGCAGAACTTTGCATTTATCTCTGTTACATGTCATTCTTTTGTTTTTAGCCCTATGGCCAAGCCTATCAAGATCTTTTTGAATTTTGTTTCTATCTTCCAGGGTATATATTAGCTATTCTACCCAATTTTGTGTCATCCACAAATTTGATAAGCATTCCTTGCACCTACTCATCCAAATCATTAATAAAAATGGTGAAGAGCACTGGACCCAGGACTAAAGTCTTGTGGTACCTGCTTGTTACTTCTTCCCATTTGAGGAGGGGCCACTGATAAGCACTGTCTGAGAACAATCCTATAAGCAACTGGGTATCCACCTGACACTTTATCTATCCAGCCCACACAGTTGGCTTCCTAATCAGAATATCATGGGGCACTTTGAGAAAAACTTCGCTGAAGTCAAGCATCCCCACTGTCTATCAAGGGGGGGGGCTGCCCGATCAAAAAATAAGACAAGGGTAAGTGCTTCAAAATTTCTCAAGCCTCCTTTCCCATGTGTAGAAGGATACAATGATATTCCAGGGGCCAAGCCTCAACCAATTTGGCCAGAATCCTTTATAAAGTGCGAAGAAGCCTTCACTTTTCCATGTCTGAGAAGGAAATAGAAAGCATTATTATACAGTCGTAAGTGCTTTCAATATGGTTATATGGCAGAGGGCAAAGCAACTTTTTTTCTGATGGGTCAGATTTGGTCCCATCTCTGCCCTGCAAGTGTTTTAACACCAACAAGATTTAATAAAAGAAGGGGGACAGGAAACTATTAAAATACAGACACACTTGCTTGTGTGCAAATCTCATTCTTCAGAATGGGGGCGTATGATACCATATGTTCCTGATAGATTGTCCCACTTCAAATTTCATCCTTTTAAAGACAAAGCACTGAGTGATTTGTAACCGTATGTATGTATGTATGTATGTATGTATGTATGTATGTATGTATGTATGTATGCATGCATGCATGCATGCATGCATGCAGGAAAAGGACTGAAAGCAGGCCCCCACAAACAGCTGTTTACTTTTAATAGGCAGTTTGGAGAACCAAGGATAATTCTTTCCCTGCCAATACACTGAATTCTCTTCTGACCAACTTCAAAGGTATTATATGACTGGCTCACCTCCCAAATTGATCTGCATATTAGAAGTTGAAAGGGGAGTGTTTCAAAATTTTTACCTTTATCAGACCATCCAGTGTACCCCTGTAGAGGTCCACACACCCCACTATGGCCCGCTGATTCATCATACGGGTCCGCACCACATCCACTGGATTTGAAGCAATGGCACCTGCTAGTCCACATGTAAAACTGGATCTAGACAAACAAGCAAACAGGAGGCAGTTATGAATGCTACACTCTAGACAAAGCAATTCCTTGCAAGTTGTGAATTTCTTGCAGTTCTCTCACAGTGTGGATGGAGTACAACTCGAGCACAGAAATCCAGTGATTTCAGCTGGATTAAGTTATTATTTGCAGTCATCACCAGCTCTCTCCTTCAAGTCTTCCACTGCACATAGAAAAGTCAATGGAAGGATTGGGTATTAAGATACAGTGGTGCCTCGATTTACGAACTTAATCCGTTCCAGAAGATGGTCATAACTCGAAATGGTCGTAAGTCGAAGCACCATTTCCCATAGGAATGCATTGAAACGCGATTAATCTGTTCCAGCTGGAAAAAAACCATTTCCCATAGGAATAACAACAACAACAAAAAACAAACAAAAAAATCCCCACCACTGCAAGACCCATCGGAAACATGGAAAAAACACCCCAGAAAACAAAGAGTGCAGGACCCGTCACAGTACAGAAACATAACCACACCACCCAGCCCAAACCTACGCTGCAAAACCCACCCAGAACAGCCAGTTTTTAAAAACCAAAAAGCAGCACCTTACCAGGCAGTCCGAAGCCTCCTCCGAACGGACACTGTCTAACCGTTTGGGCAAAAGAGCTACAAAGAAGCAGCCTCTTCGCCACCAATGGTTAGCAGTTTGAATTCCCTCTCCTTTCCCCCCGCCTTTTTTTCTGGTTGTAACTCGAAGCTCCGGTTGTAAGTCGAAGCAAAATTTTGCGGCCAGAGCTGGTCGTAACTCAAAATGATCGTAAGTCGGGATGTTCGTAAGTCTAAGCACCACTTTACAATATTTCTGGAAATTCTGATGTTCCTAGAAACCAATGTTTGTTTTCCTTTTTTGCCAGGGGGATTAAAATTTGCAGAAAACTAAAATGCAAGTTATATTTACCTTCATGTCAAATGTACACTTATTTTACAGCATTAGTTGCATAAAACTTTTTAGTCATGACTTAAAACACACCTGAAAGTTCAGTATTTGCCATATTTATGATATTTAAAAGCATTAAAGCCTTAGTTCTTAAACACAAAATTGTCAATAGACTCTATCATAAAAAGAGAGCTCAAAGTTGCTGCATCCTATGAGCTGCAATCCCTAAGAAATGAAATTTCGTATACAAGACTCTCATAAAGATGGCAGCACCCACTATGTGCAGAAAAGAAGCTTGGATCTGCGTGTTGGACAAGTGTACAGTATGCATGGAAATTAATGCTGCCTGTAATTAAATGTAAATCTTGATACAAGTTCCTGGTATTTGAGTGAGTAGATCTTTTTTATTATTAAATGCATTTCACTCATATCAAAAGATGAAGCAATTCATCTGGATGTTGTAGATTCTACAAATTTATAAGTATTCTAGTTTGGGGAGCAGGGGAGTGGAAAAAAACTGGATTTTTTTCTGAAAGGTTCTGTCCCCCCACACCCCGCAAGTGGGGGTGCCAGATACTCACATAAAGTGTGTGAGGACTGTGTCTCCAACAAGTCCAGAAAGGATTAAGTGCTTCTTGGTGATGTCATAGATGGGCAGCTCCACTCCCACCACAATGGCAGCTCTCTGAGCGGTGGGGACCACACCCTGTCAAGGGAAAAGAGTGGAGATTTTCGTGTGCTTGGGCGGAGGGCTACCGTGTAAGAGTTTCCATCCAGTGCTTCCCCCTCTTAACTCAACATGATGCTTACAAGTCACACAGCATCCACCAGGGTGACAAAAAGAGGAAGAAAAAGTGTTATTGAGAGGAAAACCTGGCCCCAAGTCAAGTGCATCTTCTTCTCATTCCAATGCTTTGCTGGCATGCAACCACGATGAGAGGAATTTAAGCCTCTAACCAAGTGACAAAATAAGTGTGCTTTGATAGTGAACACAACATTTAAAGCAACCTGATTTAAGGGTTCCAGGACAAGACCCAACGGACTACCCTTTTGAGTGCCTTAGATACAGGCGAGGTTAGAAAGCTCAGCTGTATCTTGGGCATTCAGGGATTTATTTATGAGCAGTGGAGAGGACAACTGCATCAGTCACCAAGGCCTGAACTTAAAATTCTAGCAGCATGTTATAAAAAACAATTAGACGCCATGTCAGAAGGGAACATCTTGAAAAGGAAAGCACTCAAAAGAGAGAGAAAAAAAGATATGACGACAATTTGAAGTCAGGAGTCCCACTACATAACTCTTAAACTCTATCCTGTATCATGACTGCCCTCTGCTCCTTGCTTCTCTTACTGCTACCATCTGCTCTGCTGGGGAAATACTCTTACATCACACTAGTTTTTGTTTTTATTTTTTGTACTATCCACAAATCTTGCATTTATGAAGAGTTGAGCTAATTTGACTTGATTCAAACTACTGTACAGGAAAAAAGGTCCTCACAAATATTAAAAATGTGATCTTAGGGAAAGGTCTCTATCAGGATCCCAGCTCCTGGAGAATTCCAATGGTTGATCCACCATGACTATAGTAGTACAATTAGTGAGCCCAAAGAGCAAATGGCCTCAGTACAAGTACTCAAGCTAGAATGGTTATGTTTATAGGCCATTGGATCAATGAGGAGAACATGGATTGTTAACCATGAGGTCTGCTTGTGATATTCTGCCAAAATATAGTCTCACACCTCAATTTATTTCACATTGGTGTTTGAGAGAGAAAAAAATGGAAGCCACCATATAAACAGTTCTGAATTAATGTATTCGTGAAGGCAGTTCTGAATTACTTTGGAGGAAGACAAGAATAAAAAGAAAAACGGTGACTTTTGAAAGATTTCCCTTGGTAGCTGGCTTGACACCAGTTCAGTAACCTTTTGCCCCTCAGTCCTTGCCCAATCTAAGCACAGTCACCTTTGGCTGATAGTAACTTTTACTAACATGATAGCCAAGCCAATCTCGCCTACGTCAATAGTAAACAGCAGAGAGACAAAGTTTATCTTTCTTTTACTATGCTGTCCCATCCTCTCTAAACAGCTTACTATTAGCAGCTGAGATTAGCAGCTGGCATATGGAGGAACTCCTGCTGTACCAGAATCTAAACCATGTGTTGTTTGTACTATATAATTCAGCATCTAGGTAACATGAATTCTGCAACATGCAAAAATGATGGGGGGAAGCTCCACCTCTTCTTTTGATTTGTTTTTTTTCCCCATACAATGTTTACTTCTGGACATAAGTTCTGAATTTGCTAGTGCTTGAACGGACAAAAGCTACCGCCTGTCCATGGAGCCTCTCTGAACGTCGGGGGGGGCATCTTCCATTGCTGTAGCACCAATATAGACAAGGCACTCCCCCTGTTGCTGGCTGCCATGCTCCCTCTTGAGGCTCTTTCTCATCTGGTAGAAGAATGCAAAGCCCTTCTTTAATGAATACTGTATCATGTTTGCAAAGAGAATTCCTGCCAGCTCTTCCAAGCCAATCTGCTCTCTAGACTGGAGCAGCCCAAAACAAGAAGACCTTATTCTGAAACCATAACAAAATGTGGATGAGGTGGTAAAACCTGTTTTGGACTGGAACGCATCAGATTGCAGTTGGGGGATAACATGAGTGAAAGTTCCTCTATAATTCGTTGGTCAAATTCCTATTTGTTACATCCACCGGTGTAACACAACTGGCATAAATCTCGATGGCAAAATACCACAAACAAGTTAACATAGGCACTTGCTGTTGTACATCAAGTAAGGAGATCAGTGCTGCTTTCACTATGCCAGTGTAAAAACTCATTTCTCTCTCTCTCTGTATATAAATATATATGGAACACATCATGGAATATATATTGTTTCCCCGAAAATAAGACCTAACATGAAAATAAGCCCTAGTATGATTTTTCAGGATGCTCGTAATATAAGCCCTACCCAAAAAATAAGCCTCAGTTAAGTGAAAGCCCACCCTCCACCCTAGTGCTGCAACCAGAAGATAATGATATGACTGTGTTTGAATAAACGTAGATTGTGGTACATAAAAAATAAAACATCCCCTGAAAATAAGCCCTAATGTATTTTTTGAAGCAAAAATTAATCTAAGACCCCTTTCTTATTTTCGGGGAAACACGGTATATACCTATTTATATTTACATTTAACAGATTATGGAAAATGCCACGCAAGAACACTTCTCTCTGATATCTAGATTTCCAGTTACAAAGAGTTTTCTGAAAAATGATAACACATTAATATGGGAATGCACAGCAGAGTTTCCAAGGTTGTCTTAGAATTGGGCCAGGCTCATTAGATAACAGATCACTATTTTTTTCGAAAATCCTGGTCTCGGGAATGAATCCAGGTGATCAGAGAAGTAAAGCCAGCAGTTTTATTTTACTCATGAAGATTTCACCATTTCACCTCTTTGCATTTCAAAGGCAATGCCCTGCCACAAAAGCACTATTACATCAAGTGGCTTCCTTATCTGCACATCTACTTGCACATAGGAGTTCAAGATCTTCTGGGTGCAGGAACCAGATGGAAAGCACCTCAAGAGGAAGGATAGCGATTGGCAACAGGCAAAAATGCCTTGTCAGTGTTGGCGCCAGAGTTACAGAATACGTCCATTGACATCCAGAGAGGTTCTTCAGACACCTTACCTTGATGTCATTTGAGACTGGAGGGAATTGTTCTGTTTTCCCAGACTTTTTAATTTGCTCAATCTTTCCCACCTTAAACATTTTGCCATTGCACCAAGTTGGTTTTTTTTTCCCTTTTGGGATCTATCACAGAGTGGCACCAGGGAAGCTCAAAATAAATTTTAATAAAGTGCTCTAAAACGAGAACATTTTTATATAACAAAGGGAAATACACTCTATTCCCTTTTGCATTAATGTGACATTCAGCATAGAGGCAGGCTTAATATAATAAACTACAGAGAATCTTAAGGATTAAAAATTGGGAAATCTGTAGGCCGAAGCAGTCCTTACCCTCCAAAGCCCTCGTGTGCCTTCTTGCTGGTAGATGTCTATGAAGCTCCCAATCATTCCTCCCTGGAACAGACTGCCCTGAGCCTGCATCCGGATCTAGAAAGAAAGAGCATGCAAGTCCTCTGTCAGGGAAGTGAATAAATAACTCTCCTGGAAATTAAATAACAAACTGTGACTCAAAAGAAGTACTTTGGGGATCAAGGTACAAAGAACTAATAGATCTAGAGCATAAGCTGCAAGCTGTCTCACACTCTCAAAATCACTTCCCCTATGTAGCTGGTCTTCGGGAATGAATGAATGAATGAATGAATGAATGAATGAATGAATGAATAAATAAATAAATAAATAAATAAATAAGATATCATCACCACGGGGAGGGGGGGCGATGATAATTTCCTCAATGGCTCAAGGGGGCGTTTCTTTCAAAAAGGTTAAGAACCACTGATCTAGAGCATAAGCTGCAAGCTGTCTCACACTCTCAAAATCACTTCCCCTATGTAGCTGGTCTTCGGTGGTGGGATGAGACTTGCAGTATGTCATGCTTTAGCCCAAAACTACAGAAACTTTTTTAGGGTGTGTGTGACAACACCTCAAATCAGTGGTGGCTGAGACTTCTTTCTCCCATATTATCTAGTAGGCTCCCAGGGGATGAAAAGATAGCTCTTGCAAGAGATCTAAACTGAACCCCTGCTGGGTCTTTTGAACTTGAAGGCTAAGGACTTAAGAATGCCCATCCTTGCATTAATCTAAAACCATATCACACCAGAACCTTTTGTTTATAACGCTAGGATTTTCAGAGATAAGGGAGGGGGAAAAACAGAGATAAAGGTGACCAGATGCAAAGAGGACAGGCCTTCTACACCTTTAAACAATGGTGGAGAAGAATGAATTTTGACAGGCATAGCTTTGTTTCATCTCTGAATGACAAGCTGCACCTGCAGAAAGACCCTCTTGCGCACAGCTATTAAAAGGTACAGGAATCTGCACTGTTTTGCTTTGCTTTTGGTCACTTGAAAGAGAGAAGCAGGAAAATGGCACCCCATAGCTAATCAAACAAGAGATAACAGAAGTGGGTTTCATTCAGGCTACAATTAAAAGAGGATATTGATCCAGGAAGACTGATGACTACTGCTTTACATTCTCTTAACCATTGTAAGATGGAGTCTAAATCATACTAGTGCAACAGATGAGCAACCCTATATTTAGTTTCCTCTTGCCCATATAACAAAGAGTGGGACATACACAGAGAAGCATTTGTAGCAGTGCTGTGAAATTTGGAGGGGGAAAACAAGAGTACCCATTGGTAAGGAGCAGGAGGAGAGAGCATGTGGCAGGAGGAGATATTCAAGCAAAGCAGGCCCCTCTTACCTTCAGCACATCTGTTGGATTTGCCAGCGTAGAGGAGATCACCCCTGATACCACCCCACATATGACATTGATCAGCAACGTTTCATCTGCAATCACGAAAAAGGTGTTTTAACCCAAAGTGGCGCCCAAACAAGGAGACCAACAGAACAGATTTTTAAGAAAGAAAAGTGAAAGCAGCAAGGTTTTAATACTTTAGAGAAACCAAGAACTCCAATTTTCCTGCTTCTTCTCTCCTGGGCCTATGTCACAAAAGGCAGCATTTTGTAACTTTTGGATTCTGATTAAAGTACTTCTAGAACTGTTACGAATGAGAGCAAGGAAGCAGGTTCCCAATTAACATGCTGCTCTTTGCAGCTGTCAGATTTTAAAGGAGTGCCACCCAACCCCATGGGCCTTTCATGAAGGCCCTGTTCAAAGAACTCTGACATGCGCTGGAATGGAAGAACCCAGCAGAAAATATTAGGCAGTTAGTTTAGAAAGGAAAAGTCAGGTGTTAGAGCAGAGTTATGCTGGGAAGGGCAGATGTACTGACCGCAGCATTCTCCAAAGGAGACCGGGTCACTGGCTGCCCTGGGCCTGCATGGAAACAAACATTTAGGACATAGTATCCATAAGCAGAAAGACCACCACGACACAGCACATGTGAGAAGGAATAGGCAGAGGCAACTTTCTTGGGCAGTGAACAGGTAAGCATGGAGGCACAACTGCTAGGTTCCAGTCAAGGCAGGAAAATCACTGTTGTGAGTTCTAGAGGAAGTCTTTCCTCAAACTGTATCACAGTTCCACTTTTGGCAACTCGGAGATGGTTATCAACTTAACACGATGTTTAGGAGCAATAGCATTGACCTCCAAGCTTCCAAAAGAAAGGAAAAGGATGGAGCAGCTCAGAGACTTGGATCCTGATGTACAGGACAGAGAGGATGCCAGGAAACAGACCAAGATGAAGTTATGTAAACCACCCGCTTGAATTAAGACTAGACCTTTGCTGACTGCAAAACTCCCCTACCTCCACAAATAAAACTGTAGCGAACAATTCCCAAATCCCCTCTCCAGTTCTGTATAAAATAGCATGCATTCTGTATTTGGTCAAAAAAATATATCCAGCACCAAAAAAATAAGTCAAGTGGTGTTTTGGTTTGGCTTTTTGTTTGTTTTGTCCTGAATCATGCCAAAGAAAGAGCAATCACACTTAAAGATGCTGTAGAAAGTAGCAAAGAGAATAATTAAGTAGACAAGCAGGCAGTTCTCTCTCCCTTGAAGCACGGAAAAGAGAAAATATTCCTAAAAAAAGGGTTTGTCCTTTGAAATACATGACATTTTAAGAATACTAAATGACTTTTTATAACACCTTTTGAATATCAGGATAGCATTTATTTGATTCTGTCTCCTATGACCTACAGTGGTGCCCCGCTTGACGATTACCTTGTTGTACGACGAATCGGCTGTACGATGAGGTTTTTGCGGTCGCTATTGCGATTGCAAAATGATGTGTCTATGGGGAAAATCCGCTTTACAATGATCAGTTCCCTGCTTCGGGAACCGATTTTTTGCTTAATGACGATCAAAACAGCTGATCGTCGTGTTTCCAAAATGGCTCCCCACTGTTAGGGACGGATTCTTCGCTCTACAGGGAGCAGAAAATGGCCGCCCTATGGAGGATCTTCGCTTTACAATGAGGTATTTCACCAATTAGAACGCATTAACTGGTTTCTAATGCATTCTAATGGGCTTTTTACTTTCTCTTGATGACGATTTCGCTGTACAGCGATGTTGCTGGAATTGATTAATGTTGTCAAGTGAGGCACCACTGTACTTGGACTTTCCTTTGCCCAAGTAGGTCATAGGAGACAGAATCAAATAAATAATAATTTACCATGAACATACATAGGACCACAAGTACATCACAGCAATATATTTAGCTATAGAGTATTGGGGGGGGGGAGAGAAGCCCTGCAACTTTTCTGATATACGTACCTTCTAAACGATCTACAAATAGCCGCTTCAAACTCTGGTATATACCAATCTTTATGGTGCCATAAGATGCTTGTCTTAACAAGGCTGGAGCAATTCTACAATCGGAGAGAACGAGAGCTTAGATCCACTTAGGAGAGTGACAGCAGCAGTCAAACTTTTTTGATGGTGGGAGTGGGGGCTGTCCTGCATTTTGAACTACCCAGTTTGACACATGATATCTACAGGTTCCCAAACTTCAACCCCATGAAGAAAATATCTGATGCATAGGGACTAGTAGTGAGGAAGTTCTATGTAAAGGAAATGGTCAAAGTGTTACCCAGAGTAGAGTGCTAGAATGCCTTCCTCCTTAGAGATGCGAAACAATGCATGGAACATGCCACGGTACTTGATTTCTCGGAAACGAGCATCAATACTTTGGCCTTGAACCTGAAGTCTTGTTTTGGTGAGATCTACAGGGAAGGTCCCTACAAGTGAAAGAGATAACCAGAGAATACAGCCATAATTGAGAATGGAGAAGACTGGATGATCCTGCCCAGCATACAGGTAAAAACACTACAGAATGTCTTACAGTATATATAATAACTTACAAATTTGCCCAGGGTGCAGAGAGACTCTCAGATCTGTCATTTTTCCTATACAGCCCAAGAACAGTCTGAGTTAATTCAAGCTATCAGATAGATCCATTAAGGTGAACATATTCCATCTCTTTCTAGCCTTCAAGTACCTAGCATCTGTAAGATTTTCTGACATTGTTCTATGCAACTGTAGGCCAGACACAGATGTACTTAACTTCAGAGAGAGTGCTACATAATGACTACCACACACTGCTTTATTGTAAGATAAGCACCTTTCCAGTGTAAAACTTTCAAAACAGGTGGTCACATTCAGTTGCTACAAAATATTAGTTTTATTTAGAAAGAAACAGCTTGCTGGATAGCTCAGTAGTTTAAGTACAGTATCTGGCTCCAGAGATAGTGGTTGGGAGTTCAATTCCCCACTGTGCCTCCTGCAAGCAGAGCCAGCCTGTGTGGCCTTGGGCAAGCTGCAGCGTCCCAGGCTGACCCCAAAAGAAGGGAATGGTAAACTACTTCCAAGTACTCTCTACCTTGAAAAACCCTGAAAAGGATCACCATAAGTCAGAATTGACTTGACAGCACATGATGATGATTGTTTACAAAGACCCTCAATCTCACCATTGTCTCACCAAAGTAAGTAATTCTGCATGAGCACTAGATGTAACAATTGTACTACTGTTACTGCTATGTCACCACAGTACTGTAAACACTCTGAGTCTGAACATACTGTCATTATTGTGGGGTGCAATGAATAATGTTGCTGTAAATTAGGAACTACCCCAGTGTGCTAGGTAGTTCAAAGAATGCTTATTAATGCCTGTGTCAGCACTTCATCTGTGGTTATCATATTCTGGGTACATCGTGAGTCACTGGGAAAGGCAATAATGGTAGGAAAATTTTAAGGCAGCAGGAAAGGAGGAACACCAAATATGAGATGGATTGACTCCATAAAGGAAGCCCCGAGTCTGCAAGAGCTGAACAGGGCTGTTGAGGACAGGACATTTGCAAAAGCTGAGCAGGACTGTTGAGGTTATTCATTCACAGGTTTGCCATAAGTTGGAGGTGACTTAAGGGCATGGAACAATAATAACAGCACTTCATTCTGCAATAATACTGACCTATCTAAGTGAGTTATTGGAAGGATTACTGGAAAGTATGAAAAGCACTTTGAATACCCTATATTAGTGTATATTTATTGCTGTTTTTCTATCCACCCAGAAAAAGATGATGGACAAGTAAAGAGAAAACAGCAGATTCAGGTACCACCCCTATCATGATGTTATAATAAGAAAACAATCTGGTAGTCAGGTGGAGCAGTCATTGAAAGAAACAACCACAAACATATAAACAGGAGTTGGCATCTTTCAGAGGCCACACATGCCAAATTTGACCTTGGATGGCTGTACCTGCTCCTTGCTTGTCCCCCAAAATATTGTTCTTCTAAAATGTCTTTTCTTTAAGCACTGAAAAAGTTTCCCATATCCTCTGGTAGCCAAAAATGCCTTAAACAACCTCCCCCTTTTTTTGAGTGGTGTAGTGGGCCCAAGATCTTGAAACTTCCTAGACATAGTAGTCTCCTGCACCCCCAAGAGGGCACAACAGCACTTTCTGACCAAAAACTTTGCTTAATTTAATTTTTTGTAATAGTTAGGAGACCTTAGGTGATGGGGGCTGTGCTTCGCAATGCTTGATTGCTAATTTTCACTTAAGAAAAAAACTCAGGGAGGTCAGGGCACTTATATAACCGAAAGACGAATTGCAAATAGCTTCTTACAGTGAAGAAAAAAAGAATTAAAAATAACCATGTGACACCTTGTGGACAGTATAATATTTTCATGGACTAAAGTCTACTTTTTTCTTTCGCTCCCGGGAAGAGAGAGAAAATGCATATAAAATATTTTCCCTGACTTTGTTTCAGCAAAGATCTACTGAATCAGCTCAGCTTCTCAATATTTGGTCTCCCCCTACCCCAGAAATGTCTTCTTCAATAGCCATTTCACCTGGCCATGAAACAATTATGTAGTCATTAAGAACGTATTAATAACCATGTGTCATCAAGTTAATTCTGACTTAGGGTTTCAGGGTTTCCTAGGTAGAGAGTACTCAAAATTGGTTTCCCATTCCCTTTTTCTGGAGGTGCCCTGGGACTGTGCAGCTAGCCCAAGGCCACACGGCTAGCTTTTCTCTCGGGAGGCACAGAGGGGAATCAGATTAAATAAAATATTTTTATTGTATTTTTTCTACCCGTTGCAACCAGAGTGATTTATTACAATATGTACCATTCATTTCATCTTGTCTTACACTCTCTAATATATTAATCTTATCTATTCTACTTAAATCGGTGTAGATTTCATCCAGGTATAAAGAGGTTCCCATTTATTATTATCCAGTCTATCATTTAGTGCATCTGTCAAAACATCTATTTCAAAATATTTTGAGAAATGGATATTTTGAGGCCTCTTTAAGTGCCTCTGTGTAAACCAGACTACAGTAATCCAATCTGCATGCAACTAGATAATGTGTTGTTACAGCCAGTGCCTAATTTGCTTCTTTTGCTGTTCTATACCCATCCCTCTTCCTATTCCACTATTATTGTTATCTATGTTAGACTGGAAGGCTGCAGATGGGAGCTGCTTACCTAGAAAAACCTCTAGGCACTTTATTCACTATTATTAAAAATACACACAGAGAGATGTATTGCACATCGTGGATAACATCTCCAGCAACCAACAAAATCCACAAAAGCTCATGCCACAATTTTTCTGCTCAGGCAAGAAGGGGACAAAATGGGGTCCTCCAGAAATTTATGGAGTGCAACTCCCACCATTCCTTACCATTGGCTGTGTTGCCTCCCTGTGTTAAGGAGGATTCATACAGTATTTGCTTTTAGAAAGAGAGGTTTCACAACATGTGGCATTTGGGCTTTACACTTTGCTCAGGGGCCCTCAAATTAGGAATGGGGAAATCAGAAAAGAGTTTCTGGACAACCCTCTGGATCCAACTACTGTATTCTCCTCTTATTGGATGTATTTATTATAGTTGCACTTCACTCTTTCTATATGGAACAAATGTGTTTCCTGTGACGTTATCCATCCCATTTTGTCCACCGACAAAAAAAAAGCCTGTCAGGAACCGTCTGGATCTCCTCTGTTCCAGGATGGCAAGGTAACCACAGCAAAACCTACTCTTCCCTTCATGGTATCTCACGTTTCTCTCAAGCAGCCCAAAGCTTTGTATGTACCTTCCCTCTCCCCATCCCCACCACTTTAGGGCCTTTAAAGATGCGTTTCTCTCAAGCAGCCCAAAGCTTTGTACCTTCCCTCTCCCCATCCCCGCCACTTTGGGCCCTTTAAAGATGAAAAGGTAAGGTAAAAATATTTTAAATAAATCCAATTATTCTGGGAAACAGGGTCAGGCCGCAAGAGAAGGGCTGGTCCAAGAAGAACCAAGGAACCTCAGGGCTGAGTCCCCGATTTGGGCAAGGGCGTTTCCTCTGCCCTAGTTTGATAAGCCAAATGTACCCGTGGAAAGCCTGGCCCCCTTCCAGATATTTTGCAGCACGACTCCCATCACCCCCTGACGGCACGGCCCTATGGCCGGGGATGATGGGAGCTGGGATCCAGCACGCCTAAAGGGCGCTGGGTTGCCGGCTTCCCCTCTCCTCGCTGCACTCTAGGGCAACTGCTGTTGTTGACCCAACTTGCACTGACAGGCAAGAAATGCCGCGAAATGCTTACAAAGGGACTCAGGTCTTCAGAGCAGCCCTGAAACGGGGGAAGGGGGGGGGAGGGCTAGGTCGTTGCTAGGCAACAGGACAGGGCGCGGCCTGTAAAAAATAGAGGGGGATAAGGGCGCCTGCGCACAGTGAAGCCTTCCGCGCGACCCCCCGCCCCCCCAACTCACCAAACTCGGCCACGAGCGAGGCCAACCCGCCGTAAACGAACGGCTTCCAGCTCAAGGCGGACATCGTGGAGGCGCGGCGGGGGGCGGCTGGAGGGGCCCCCTCCTGCCCAGAAGCGGCTCTGCCTGCCTTCTCCGGCCTTCCGGGGCGCTCCTCTTTCTTCAGCTGAGGGAAAGCCTGCGCTCGAGGAAGCCGCCGGCAAAGCCCTCAGAATATTTAAAGTATGAGAAGGTGGGGGGAGGGGGGAAAGGGGAGGGTTCTGCTGCCGGTTTCCTCGGTAATGCGCCGGCGTGCTGCGAAGTTTGTGATTGGAGGAGCCAGTGGCGTCTGAAGGGGTGGAACGGGGCTCGTCTAGCGAATGGCCAAGAAGGGGAAGCGGCCAAGCGCCGCCCTCGCGTTACGTCGCAGGCGCAAGCCCCGCCCCCGTGGAGGACCCGAAAGGAGGAGGGCTGGGGAGCTCCTGCCGGCCAGGTGCTTGGCACGTGCCGAGGGCGGCCCGACCCGGACCCGGGCCCCGCCTCCTCGGCCCGCCCCTTGGGAAAGCTGGGCATGCGCATGACGAAAGGCTCTTTTTCGGGGCTTCTGGCAAGCCGCCTTCGACTCCAGTTGCAGACTTGGCGGGCTGGAGTGCCAGCAACCGAAGGGACTCCCTCGGCTTCCTTTAGGCTTGGTGTCTAGGAGACGTCAAGTCGCTTCCGAGTACCGGGAATGAATGCGCGATCTCCCAAAAGGTCCCGCTCAGCTCTTGCAGACTCAAGCCCGTGGCTTCCTTAAGGGAGTCAACCCATCTTATATTGCGTCTTTCTCCTTTCCTGCTGGCTTCTACTTTCCCCCCGTATTACTGTCTTTTCCAGACATTCCGGTCTTCTCAAAGTAGAACAGACTCAGCTCCAACATCTTTGCCCCCCGGAGATATTGTAGTTCATAGGATGTTTGTTCTACAAACAGACTCAGCTCCAACATCTTTGCCCCCGGGAGATACTGTAGTTCATAGGAGGATGTTTGTTCTACCCTGGCTGGATGATGGGATAGATGATGGGAGTCCAGTTCTCCCAGAACAACCAGCCTATGTAGCCTTGGGCAAGCTGCATGGTCCCAGGGTGACCCCAGAAGAAGGGAGTGGAAAACCCCTTCTGAGTAAGCCCATAACTGAAGAGACCCTAGAAAGGGTTGCGGGAAGTTGACAGGGTGGCACATCGTTATTGTCCATTACCTGGCGTAGCTGACAGGGTGATGGGAGGAGGGCTCAGGAAATCTAGGCTCAAATTCAGCCATGGTAACTCATAGGGTGTGTGCGTGGATCTGATAAAAACCACTCCTTAAGCATCTCACTTACCTTGAAAGCCCCCCTTAGGCTTGTTCTAAGAGTTCAAACAAGAGAGGGCTCAGCACACAGGTGTAGCTATCCAGATTGCAACACCTCCATATTCACCCCTGGCTATACTGGCTAGGTCTGATGGGAGCTGCATCCCAATGGTATCTGGAGGAACAGCCCTTCATTAGAACGGAAGACGGGTCACTTGCTAAATGCCTGTTGTCATACACAGCTGTCCTATAAGAAACGTGGTATGAGCTGTGCAGTTGGGGGTAATAAACTGGAGTGGGATGGCATTTAAATGGTCTTAGCCCTGTTTTAACCCAGACTTCTAGTGTGATGCAGGAGGTTAGGTGCTAGAAAGACAGGCCATGGGTTTCGTAATGTTTCTTGCCACACAGGTCTTGGGAAGTTGTGGCCGTGTTGATGATTGCAACTGCAAGTTTCCCAAGCCAGAAGAGCCAATTGTAAGGAATGATGAGAAGTGCAGACTCGGCATCTGAGGGCTTGAACCTTCCTCAGTATTGCCATAAAGACACAGATACTCTCTTCCATGGGCAGAGATCTTGTCTTGCAAAGCCACTTTCTTTGCAGGTACTTTTCTGAAAACAAGCAACTTGTGGATTTCCGGATACCGTTTCTCTGCTGCTCCTGGGGGGCCCCATCTTACGTAGCTATCTCTGAACTACAAGTTTAACAATAATGCAGGAAGCAGAAATTATGCAGGTACACTTCCTCCCTTCATGCTGAGGAAAATTGCTTTTGTTGACTTATGTCAGGCAGCTTTTTTTGGCACTGAGGTTTTCTGTGCCCATAAAACCCTGGCTACTTCCATTCCCCAAATAATCAGCCTGTGCTTTAATACATGACTATCAATAAAATCCAAGTCTTATGTTGGTGGAAGTGGGGTTTTTGTACATGATTGGCCACAGCTATTTCAATAACCCTTCTGATTAGCACAACAATGATGAATATAATTAATGTAGCTTAGTGTTTTTTAGTATCTGGCTGAGGAGCCACATGATAGGGGCTTGAGTCCCCACTGTCCTGCCCTGACAAGGGCTGGACTTGATCATCCATAATGTGAATAATATTTTAAGTAGGGCCCTTTACCCCCTCTGTAGTTCTAAGATTACTGTTATTATTCTAATATTACATCTAAATAGCATGATAATTTGTTCCTGCTTTTGCTTGGAGTGAGGCTTGTCCTCCAAAAAACTGGTTTCCAAAACAGGAAATATCCAGCAGAAGGAGCTTTACAATACTGGGTAGGGAAACCATACAGAACGTAGGTATATACAAAAACTTCACGTTAAGTAGGCAACACTCCTCTAGCCGTTACTCCAGGAGGTGGTGGTTCGGGTTGTTCTGCCATTTTTCCAAGTTCTGAAATGGATGTCACTTTTGACCTAGGCTCTGGTGTTTACATTGCTTGAATCAACAAGTAGTATCCAAGCACACACACACACACACAAAACCATGCATCAGGCATGTGAGCGTTGCGTACAGTGGCCTCTCTGGGAGTAAACTCATGCATGTAATGACACTTCAAATTAGATTTATTGTCTCTAGCCTTGAAGGCAAGCATTCATCTATAAGCGCTCTTTTCTGTTAAAAAAACCTCCCGACAAGATGAAAGCAAGCTTTTCAGCACCTTAATATTTGGCTCTGCTCCTTCCGCTCCTCTTTCCAGAAGACCAACCATGTGCTCCTGCCCCCCAAGATTCCTGGTGGGTCTGCTGGGGCACCTCTAATGTTGGGGGTCTGGCAATTAAGGCCACCATGTTCTTTGTGTCTGTTTTCATTTATAAGGGTGGAATAGGCCAGGCAGCTTAGTAGCGGCTGGAGGACGACTTCTCCCAGGAAGGCTTGTCTCTCGTCTCCCGCTGGTCCCGTGACTTTCTGCTTTCAGCTTCGTGGATCCTCTCTTTAGAAGAATCTGCCTTCTTGTGCTTCTCCTCGCTGCGTGATGTTCTTAGTTCTTGCCTTGCCCTCTCTGGACCCCCTTCTCGAAACCTCTCCGTCACATGCGCATGCTTGGGCTCGGGGTCTTGGTGCCTCCAGCTTGCCTGTTTGTGCCCAGATGTGCTGCTCCAGGCTGTCTGACTTGCGCTCGCATACCGCTCATAGCCTGGGTCATCCTTTTCTACTTTGATCTTGGTTTTAGAAGGTGGTGCCTCTGTAAGTGGTTCAACTTTTATGCATTTCTGATGCTCTCTCTTTTCTTTCTTTTTCTTCTTACGTTTCTCTTTAAATAAATCAAAAACAGAGAGATCAGTTGCAACTCTATAAATCCCTTCATTATCTCTGATCTTTAATGACTAGCTAATGGCTGTATTCCTCAGTCTTTCAGCTGACCACAAGACTCTTCTTCCTAGCATGATATTTACTTTTGTAGCTACATGGACACAATCTTAATCCAATAAGTTTTTCAAACATTATTTTATCCACCCCCCCTTATTTATTGAGCAGATACTATTGCTTTTTTTTGCCTACGAAAATATTTCTTCCACTTCCTCAAATAACTGGAAATAACAATTTATATCCCACCCAGAGTGGTCGACCAGACCAGATGGGCGGGATATAAATCAAATAAATAAATAAATAAATAAATAAAGCAAATAAAGCAAATAAAGCAAATAAATAAAGCAAATTAGCAAACTGCAAAGAATAACTGCTCATCTATTTCACTTTATATTGAAGTCAGTTTTAATATAATGTTTAAAAAATTAAAAAGCCTGATTTTTCTTCTCTCTACTTCCTTCACCCACACAATCCCCAAGCACTTTGATTAATCCAGATCCAAACCTGTCATAGGATAGCTACTTTACAGCCAACACTAATGAAGTAAAAAGTTCCAAAACCAAGAATAACAGAAAAAGTGATATGACTCCAGACTTTCCCGGATGGTTTACCACTGTCTTGCCCCATTCCTCTCTAGGAAACAGGAGGTCACTGCTAAACCTGGGCTCTTCTAATAGGCTTAAAAGGTGACACACAGAATTAATGGTCTCACCCTTTTTATGCTTCTTCACCTCCACCTCATTATCTTCAGAAGATTCAGATGAACTTGGAGGAGGAGTTTTCAAACCACATCCTTTTTCCCGGAGTGTTTTTGTAACTTCATCAATGTCCTCAGAGTCTTTTGGTGGGCGATAGTTAGCTACATGGTCCACACGGATAGTCCTTCCCTTTATCTGTCGAAGCAGAATCATTACAGTTATGGAACAAACATGTTTTATAACTCTCAACCTTCCTCTCTCCATTCTTTGGTGCTATACAGAAGGGAAAATCAAACAGCAAAATAGGAGTCTATCTTGAAAGACATTAAGAAGCCAAAGAAAATAGTCTGATAAATCCTTTTGAGTGCTATTGAAAAAAACTGATTTCAGCAGCTACAAGGTGAGAAACTGAGGTTTAAAATCACTGGGGAAGGCAGAACTTCCTTACTTGTGACTCCACAAGAATGGAATATACTTCCTGTGTTCGTTCTAAAACATAAAAATAATCCTGCAGAATTTATGAAGGCAGCAGCTACCACAGCAATTACAGGAAGCCACTAACCTGAAGATCACTTGGTGATTTCTGCTTTAAACAACTTTACTGATGAGGTTTTGCCCCTAAAATCTTGGGCGTGGGGCAAGGGCTGCTAATACAAAACAGTATAGAAATCTTCCAAAGTATGTTCCTATTTTTAGCCTCACAATAGGTATTCTTCTGCTTTCTTCAAAAGCCAACCTGGTCTATCTTCAGTTGCAGCCAGAATGGGCTTAATCTACTTGAAACACTGGTGAAGAGACAATAGAGGACACTTCCCTTAATAAAAATTGCCTAGCTGGAACACCTAAGAGTTGATGGCAGGGGACAAAAATGCTTAAAAACTTAGAAGAGCTATGATCTAGGAATTGCACATTTTCTGGCAACTGACTGAGAAAACAAGATTTTTGATCATGAGACTTGTGTTTATACCACAGTTAGTAAAATATATACAATTTTCTTGGTGGTGTCCCATGATTAAATATCAAAATATGAAAGCTTGTGTTCTATCATTGAATTTCCCCCAGGTACAGAGTTTTTAAATGAACATTTCAGGTCATACATACATTTTGAAAGAAAATATCTTGATATCCCACAGGAAGTGAAAAACTTCCCTTTGGCATGTACTCAAGCAGTAAGTAACCCATTAACAACTATTCTCTTGCAGTTTATTTATTGTCTGATCATAGATAAAAACAATCTTATTGCTGTTGGGTTTTATTTTAGTGTGCTGTAAACTGCTCAGAAAACGGTGTTCCACTAAGGGAGCGGTATATACATTAAATAAATAAATAAATAAAATAGTATTCTGACTACTGTATGTGAATACTAGAATAAGATTTCTGTTGCACATCCTGCCACAATTATAGATTTTAAAAAAAATCACAGGCTATTATAGTACTAGTTCTGTACTGTATTATTTTAGAGGGTGACAGCACAGTTGATAGAAAACTGACTACTCTGATCAAAATCTACAGATGTTTCTATTTCATTTTCTTTACTTATATCAAACCATTGTTTTAGATGTTTAATGGATGTACTAATTTTTACTTCTGTGTTTACATCCAACAAACTGAGCCCCTCTTTTACAGATTTTGTAGCTATGGGAAGGCCCATGACCACGTACAATACAGTTTTCTCAACCCATTGCATTTGTTTTTGTTTCGGCTAAAGAGTCTCTTCTGCTGGCAGGGCCATTTTAATGTGCAGATCTGATATGTTTTATCACCTTTCTGCTTCTTAGTTTCAATGACATATTCCAGGGTTTCTACTTCTGAATTACAGTATATCTTATTGTTTTAACTGTATTTGTACATTCTCCTGTTATCCATTAGGATGAAGGGGTTTAATTATGTGTTAAATAAACAGGCGTTTAAAACTGATGTTCCTTTTCTGCCCCAACTCTAAGAGTTTTCCTAGAAACTCAATTGCTGTATCTGTCAACACACTTTAGGGTCCCTACACTTCATTTTCAGCAAGAAGGCATACACCATCCCAACCTGAGTAGCCAAACAAACCAAAGAGAATGCTACCAGTTATTACACTGACCTTAATCCCATTGAAATTATCAACTGCAAGAATGGTGCTTCGCTGGTCTTCATAGCAAATGAAGCAAAAACCTTTGGATTTACCAGTCTTCTTGTCACGGACCAGGTTTATATTCACAATTTCCCCGTATCTGAAGGGGGGGGGGCGAGACATTACGAGAGTTTTGCTTTCTTGCTTGAAAAATGTTTAAAGCCAAGAAGGACACAGTTAAAGCAGGGATGTATCAAGAAAATGCAAGTGCGGATGTACAGTATATGATTTTAAACCATGCAAATGTAAGACAGGGAGGTACATTATGTAAAAAGGGAACAATCCATTCCCTAGATTGGGAATTTAAAAGATGCTACCTTTTTGGTCTCCAATTCCCAGACTTCCCCAGCCAGCACAGGTCCTGCACCGAGAACCACATTCAACCCATGGACTGCAATGTGCGAACCACAGATTTTAGATTCAAAAACATACCCTGTTCAATTAAGATTGCAAATGAAACCACAATAGAAGCTTTCAGGATGCTTTCCTCATTCTTAAGTTTCATAACATGAACTGCTTTGGGAATTTATGAGAAAACAAATATCTCTCTCTACACACTGAGACTTATTCAAAATCATATATAAATACATTAATTTTTTTTAAAAAAACCAAAAAAGATCAGAGCTATTGTCACATATTGGGAAGGAACACCAGATAATTATGTCAGTCTAAACTAAAAGTAATCTCTCAGTGGTGATCTATAGGGAATATGTATGAGCAACTTAGATAGCGACCATTCTGTGTCTGTGGGATTCTCTTCTTTAAGAAGTGCAAAGCCTAAACACGGATGCCTTCCATTTAGGGTATATAGAGACTTCAAACATAGAATCCAAATGTGTGTGTATAAATATATATAAGTCTATATAAGCCTATCTTGTTTAACTCACTAGATGTTATCCCTGAACAGACACATACAGAATCGCATTAGGAATGTTTTTAAGTTCTTTTGCAGTAAACATGTTTTTTAAATCTTTTGTTTTCTGCTTTAGAATTTAATTTTAACTGAAAAGAAGCATTAAAAAACTTAAATAAGGAGCCCCCCCAACTTTCTTCTTACATCTTAATTTTTCTACTTACTGTGAAAATACACAGATAATGTCACCCTCCGTCAGCTCATAGGGCAGGCCTCCTGGGGGGAAAAGAGGAGTTAGTAAGTGCTTGTGTGTGTTTTTAAGGGAAAGATAATTAAGTCACATACTACCATAAGCATTCAAGGCTGTCCCCATGCTGGACACCCACCCACAAATATCCAGGCGCTGTCACTGTACTCTGCATGCCAAGAGACTTTATCCTGGACACCCAGCTGTGCCTCACGTTCATTCAGTTCGTTGATAAGCTTCACCTTGGTCAGTGGGCTAGGAAAGAAGAAAAAGAAACAAACCATTAGTTTCAGTAAAGTCTAATATTGGGGGGAGGGACTCAATATTTACTATTTCTTTGACCCAGGCTTCTTCCATGGGGTATATACCGTCCTACTCTCCCCTTCAACAATGCTAACAACACTGTGGGTAGGCTAGGATAGTAACTGGCTCAGGGTCACCTAGTGAATGTCTTCACTAATTGGGGATTTGAATTTGGGCTGCCACATTCCTAATCTGAGGCTGCCTCAACCATTAGACCACTGGTTCTTAACCTTGGGTTACTCAGGAGTTTTGGACTGCAACTCCCAGAAGCTTTCACTACCAGCTGTCCTGACTGGGGTTTCTGGGAGTTGCAGTTCAAAAGCATCCGAGTAACAAAGGTTAAGAACCACTGCATTAGACCACGCTATTTGGGCTGCCACATTCCTAATCTGAGGCTACCTCAACCATTAATTAGACCACGCTATACCACTCTAGTCTATATCTAAATCATACCCTCTGTCCTAGAAATCCGGAACTCTAACCCTTAGGATGCGAAAGTTGACTGTGGTCCTTGCATTTCGGACAAGGCACTCTGCATTAGCTCAGAAACACTCTTCCGTAGTATTCCACTTGTTGGAGGCTAAACTATGGCTGAAAAATATGCATCAAAGGGCTGGGCGTTGATTCAGTAGCAATTCCTGTTCCAACTCCAGCGACCCTACCTACATAGTCACCTCTCCCCCATCCAAGCCTGACCCACAACCATCCATCACCCCATCCCACCTACTTCATCTTGAGACCTTCGTTTATCAATAGGCGCATGCGCCTGAGTCCCAGCAGGCTGCGCAAGCGTAGTCCCCGTCTTCCTCGCACGGATAAGCCACGCCTCCTACGAGACCAACCAATCCGAGCCGGGTTCCCTCCCCACACGGCCGTTCGTCCGCTTTCCACGCTCTCGGTGCTCGAGCCATAGAGACAAAAACAAGTAGAGTGACACAAAGGGGGAGGTTCGAGCCCAAAGTGAAAAGCAAATTCTGTCATGATGATTGTTTGTGGTTACAGAATGATGGCGCTCCAACCATTCGCAACATCTTGCCCAAAATTCTGTAGCCGTCCGGTCACTTCCCTGAGTGGCTCCTGCGCTTTGGGTCTCCAGTTTTTAGTTGTGAATTTAGGAAATACTGTATACTTGCATACAGTTAAATTTAAAAAATACCGGTCTGTCTATTTAAATATAGTTGCATCCATTTAATAATCTCAACTATTATAAACGCATTTAATACATTTAAATATAATATTTTAAAATGCACCTTGATGGTGCAGCGGGGGAACCAAATGAACATCCTACAGGCTAAGATTTATTTCAGTGTGAGCTACAATAGTTTGCCTTTTTTTTTTCTTTTTTTTTGCCAACACGTTCAGACAAACCAACACGGCTATTTCATTGGAAATACCGAAAGACTAACAAGTTTTACCTTTTCACGGATTGCAGCCCATTCACCGTGCTCCTGGACGGTTGCTTCAGCTGGATAGGAAATAAATAAGCAGGTGTGTGTGCCTTGTACACATTCCAAAAACGAGGCTTGGTCATATTTTATTAAACCACTAAAATCTTAACAAGTAGTACACAATATGGTGTGGTGTATGAAATGATGGACTGGGACTCAGAGGACACAAGTTCCAATCCCCACTCAGGTGTGGAAACTCACTGTAGGAGTGGAACCAGTAAAACTACTCCTTAAAATATACCTTGCGTCTTATAAATTCACAAGAAATCAGGACAAGGCTGCATGATCCTCAGAACAATACAAATGCAGGAATAGGTGATACCTTTATTGAAAGATTAAGAAAATAAAACAAAAAATAGAGTGGGCCTTGATGATCATCCACCTTCCTCACACTCTGCTCCAAGTTCTCCTGGGTAGCTCCAAAGTAATATGTTTAAAACACTACTGTATTTGTATTGCTAGCGGCTTGACGGCACATAACACACACAACATCTTTACATGCCAGCTAGTGTTCAAGTCCTGTGTAGGACTCTTAATTAGGTTGGGCACAGCAGAGCTTAAGGGATGGGAGAAGAAACAGAAAAAATCTCAGAAGAGTTTAATTCTCTCGAGTTCTTTCAAATGTGTCCAACACATCCAGATGCTTTTGATGTCACATTTTGTTATAAAGGGTCCACATTGACCTGTGCTTTTCCTTTGTCTTCAGACTTTTTTGGGGTGACACAAAAATAGTTGCTTCATTCCAGATGCTGCTGAGTTTTAACTTAAGCCCCCAAATCTCCTGGGGCCTTCTTTATTTTCCTTTGCCAACACCCGATATTTATTTATTTATTTATTTATTTATTTATTTATTTATTTATTTATTTATTTATGTATGTATGTATGTATGTATGTATGTATGTATGTATGTATGTATGTATTTATTTATTTATTTATTTATTTATTTATTTATTTGATTTATACCACACCCATCTGGCCTAAAAGACCACTCTAGTATGGGAGCCAGGGCTGGCCAGGTCTTGACCAGGTAATTAAGGTCTGTTAACTTTACACAAGACCTGATGTTCCTTTAGTCATATAGACCAATGCAGCTGCCTAGAATTTTTGACTCTTTTTTTTATGGCAGAGGGCTGACTTTGGGAATGATATAATGAACACCCTCACTTCCAATATACCACTTGGCATGCCTGTATATAGTGAGTGACTGTCCAGAATTCTATGCTGCAACATGAAAAGAATAAAAGTGGCTTTCTGGGTTTCTTCGATTGTGATAGATCTGGAACAGCAGGAAAAAAGAGAGCACATTTAGACAGCATTCCCTGGTTGCCACCACACTGAATTGCATGCTGTCAAGTCAATTATGTCTAATGGAGACCCTTTCCATTTTTTTTTAAAGGTAGTGGATATTCAGAAATGCTTTCCACTCCCTTCTGCTGGGGACAACTTAGGACTGTGAAAGTTGCCGAAAGCTACACAGGTTGGTTCTTCTCCAGGGAGGCCCAGTGGAGGAATCAAACTCCTCGCGTCTGGCTCTGTAGCCAGGTAACACACTGAGCTGTCCAGCCAGTTCTCACTACAGTGGGGTCTTGACTTGAGAACTTAATCCGTATTGGAAGGCGGTTCTCAAGTCAAAAAGTTCTCAGGTCAAATCTGCATTTCCCATAGGAATGCATTGAAAACCATTTGGTCCGTATCTGCTCTTTTCCGTCCATAGAAACTAATGGGAAGCTGCTACTCCGCCTTCGACCACTAGAGGGGGATATTTTGTTTCTTTTTTTCTTAGGTCAAGAAAGGTTCAGGGAAGGCAGGGAAAATACAGTCCAGGCAGTTCAGTACCAGGTTGCCACCACACTGAATTGCATGCTGTCAAGTCAATTATGTCTAATGGAGACCCTTTCCATTTTTTTTTAAAGGTAGTGGATATTCAGAAATGCTTTCCACTCCCTTCTGCTGGGGACAACTTAGGACTGTGAAAGTTGCCGAAAGCTACACAGGTTGGTTCTTCTCCAGGGAGGCCCAGTGGAGGAATCAAACTCCTTGCGTCTGGCTCTGTAGACAGGTAACACACTGAGCTGTCCAACCAGTTCTCACTATACTGTACTTACTGGCTGTTAAAAACTCGCAAGCTCACCCTGCAATAGTAAGGGAAATTATTCTATTTCAATTAAAAAAAACATTTGTAGTTACATCAGAGAAGGATACAATTACATAGATCGCCAGACCTAGACCTTAATTTCCTTTCTTTCGGCTCCCAAGAACTCCCCCTTAAACACATCAATCAATCTCCATCTGATTTTTGAAACTAAGGAGGGTTCACCCTGGTCAGTTCTTGGATAGCAACCAAGGGCCTTTAGACTGAATGGTCTTATTGAATAGTCCTTTTAATGATGATACACATTATTGCAGTTGCACTGAACCAACGGGCGCAGGACTACATTTTAACCTAATGCAGTGTCTTTGTTCACCATAACTACATGGATAAAGTGTGCTTTGTTTCTTTTTAACTGATTCCATTGCTTGAAAAAAAAAGTACTTATTTGACCTGTGAGCTCAGAACATAGGTAGCATATTAACACGCCACCGGGCATGTTAACTGGGAGATTCTGGGAAATGTAGTCCAAAAAACAACTATTCCAAGTTCACCTTTTGTCCCAATGATAAACATGTTTGCTTGGGAATAAGCATATTTTGTAACAGAAAATGATGTATTTTTAAAAGTGAAAAGAAATAAAAAGAGCATCTCAAATCCACTTGCTGAGCCAGCTATCACCAGGTTGGATCCTGGCATGCTCATAGCAGCCCAATTTTTGATGACGGTCAGCCCAGGTTTGCTTCCATCACCTGCCATTCTTCCAGTGGCCTTTTGGGGTCCTGGGTATTGATCCTGAAGTCCAGCTCTAGCCGCACCCCTACTTTTCCCTATTGCAGTTGGTGGTTGGAGCTAAAGCTTGTAGGGAAACCTTGGGGCTCCTCAGATATTTTAGACTTCAACTCCCATCAGCCTAATCAGCATAGCCAATTATCAGGAATCTTGGGAGTTGTAATTCAAAACCTCTGGATGTTAAAATGTTCAGGGAGGCTGGAGAAGAGGTTGTATAAATGCCTTTGGTGCTTAATCTTTGGACTTCACAGCTTTATCTACACACCCTCTGACTCTCCAAACAACCCTGCTCCCTATTTGTCTCATTTCAAAATGTTGAAGATAAATCATTGAATTGCAGAACTGGAGGGAATGCCAAAGGTCATACCGTTCAGCCCCTGCCATGGGGAGATTTTTAGATCCTTGAAATCCAGAACCACAACTGAACGGCAGATACAGTGGTGCCTTGCTTAACAGCGATAATCCGTTCTAGGAAAATCACTGTTAAGCAAAAACGTCGTAAAGCGAAAATAAAAAGCCCATTGAAACACATTGAAAACCGTTCAATGCCTTCCAACGGGCTAAAAACTCACCGTCCAGCGAAGATCCTCCATACAGCAGCCATTTTCGGTCCCTGTATAGCAAGGAATCCGTCCCTAAACACAGCGGGGAGCCATTTTAATTACCCAGCGGCCATTTTGAAACCACCAATCAGCTGTTAAAAAAACATCGTTTTGCGAAGAATTGGTTCCCAAAGCAGGGAACCGATCATTGGAAAGCGAAAAAACCCTATTTAGACCATTGTTTTGCAACCACGAAAGCGCTCACAAAAACATCATCGTGAAGCGGATTCATCGTAATGCAGGGTAATTGTAAAGCGGCGCACCACTGTACATCTGATCTGAAAAAAAAGTGTTGGCTGCAAATGGAGGGTGACCATGATGGACAATAGGAAGGAGCCACCTACTCTGTCTCAATCTCTCAATTCCATCCCCTGCCCTTTATAGATTTATGATGATGCTTTTCCTTTTTTTTAAAAGGCCTGGTGGATAACAAGACTGCTCAGTGGACCTTATTCTACAACACACACAGCACTGGAATTAATTTTGACAGGGAGCAGTAGTAGAACATCAGAGACACTGTTTGTGGCCAGGGTTTTTGTTTAGATGACCCACCTTCAGAGAGGAAGCGACACCCAAACCACTCACCAGTGATACAAATTTTATTATTAATTAAACATTAAGTTAGAATGAAACAAGCAGGTCTGGATTCAGTTTATTGAGGCACCAAAACCACCAGCTCCCACTCCCGTGCCACACGAAATGGTCAGGAAGGGCAAAACGCCTCAGTTCAACAAGGGCAGGGGTTTTTGTGGCCCGCCTCGGGTGTCAGCTGCGTTTTCTGCCCCCTCCCTTGCTGCCTCTCCATGTCCCGATAGAGCAGAGATTTCTGGGCCTTCAGCCGGCAAGCCAGACACATGAAAATAGATTCCACGTTTTGGCTCTCTTTAGGGTCCTTGGCGGAGGTTTCAAACAAAAGCATGTTGTGAGCGTCAGCAAACTTCAGGGCCATGCTGGATGGCACCTGGATCTGGTCCCTCAAGTCACACTTGTTCCCCACGAGCACCTTCGGGACGAGGGAGGGAACCGCGTGGCCGTTGCACTCCTCAATCCAGGTCTTGAGGTTGAGGAAGGACGCCATCTTGGTGACATCATAGACGAAGACAACGGCGTGCACGTTGCGGTAGTAGTGCTCCACCATGCTCTTCCGGAACCTCTCCTGGCCCGCTGTGTCCCACACCTGCACCTGTGGTAGAAGAGCAGAATTCCTGAACAGCTGACAAACCAGGCAGAGAATGTATCGATGATTATTATACTTCTACAAGGACCGTTCTGGGATTTGGAACACCCTTGGGATGTGATTTCTAATACAGTGGTGTCTCGCAAGGCAAATGTAATTTGTTCCGTGAGAAGCGCTGTCTTGTGAAAAAAACATCTTGCGAAAAGTGGCTTCCCATAGGAATGCATTCCAATGCATTCCTATGGGAACCTCGCAAGACGAATGAATTTTTTTCGGCTTGCGAGGCATCGGTCTCGAAAGAAAAAGTCTTGCGAAGCAAGGCCATAGAAGAAGCCGTCTTGCGAGGCACCATAGCGATGGCAAAAACCGATCGTCTTGCGGGTTTTTCATCCCGCGAGGCGTTCGTCTTGCGAGGCACCACTGTATAATCCTCCTGTACTAGTGAATTCTTAGCTATGGGTTTATTCCAGTTGTTCCTCTTTGACTGCAATTCCCAGAAGTCTTCACCACTGGGTGGTGTTTCTGCAACTTGCAGTCTAACAGCACCCGGGTTTCCTAAGGTTGGGAGCCAATGGTTTACTGGAAATAAAAAAGAAAGCGACAAGTCCTTCTTTTTGCATTTCTCACAATGCTACTGTGGGAAATTTGAATTTAAAACGGCAAGCTTGCAAACTCAGTCACCTGGTGCATAGGAGCCACCAAGAATCCTGAACGATGCCAAGCTTGCATTTATATCCTGCTTTTCCTCCCAAGAGCTTAGTGGGTGTTTCTGTTTTGTTGTTTGGTTTGGTGCTGAAGATTCGTCTCCTTCCATTTTTATCCTTGTAGAAACTCTGTTATGGCTGAGAAGGACTGATGCAAAGATACCTAGCAAGATTTGAACCCTCGTCTCTCCATCCCAAGCCTACACTGGTAGCACCAGCCCTTTCCAAAACTTCCAGAAGAACAAGGATCTCCAAGCCAGAGTTTGGGGAAAAAATCTCTTTGGGGATTAAATACCCAACACCAGGAGCCAGTATGGCGTGTGGGAAGATTACTCATCCCAAATTCTAGCCTTCATTCAAGCCATGGATCTCACTGCATGAACCTGGGTCCACCACCAACTGTCAATCTGACCTATCCCTCAGGGTTGGTGCGAGGAGCAAGTGGAAAACACAACTTTGCCTCATTGGTAGAAAGACAGACATTTAACTAACAAATAAGCAAATAAAAATCCCCTGGCCAGTTGGCTGGGGAATTCTGGAGTTGTAGTGTAAAAAAGGAGATTTTCTACATTCTACTTATAGCCCCCATTCTTCTTGGTCAGTAAAAATGGATCAGCAAATCAAGCCAGCTCATCCTGACCCTTGTACTCTGGACTAAAGGCCTCAAGGTCATAGGGCCTCCTTTTGTTTTTTAAGGAGATGTACATGTCTGAATGCATGTGTCAGAGACAGAGAGAGAGAGGGAAGGAGAGAGAGAGAGATAGTGTAAGATAGTGTGTGGTCTGTGGCTACACATTTAACAGGGAGGTGACAGAAGAGACTGTAAACCTTCATACTCTGAAGGGAAGAGCAATTTTAAACTATCCCTTCCAAAAGTAAACCCAAAAATAAACAAATGAAAACCAAAGAAACAGACAAATCAAAATACTGAAAGAAAAAGGGAGGGGGCATTAATAAAAACAACACCTGGGGGAAAAAAACGTCCAAATATTTGCTTCTTGTGCTGGTTGGCTCTCTGGATAGTTTTTGCCAACACAGTGGCACACTCAGTAATGTGATTTCCTCCTCTGCTGACTAAAAGGGTAGGATTCATTCTCTCATTAGGTTTTGAGGGGAACCCTCAGGCCATAACTTTTACATCAGGAAAGTTATAAGAATGGGAAAATGAATGATACCCCTGGCAAAATACTGTGTTTTTATTTATAGCAATGAGATTATTGAGAATTGCAAGGGAAGAACACCTCAAACTGACTTGTATGGAGGTTTGGCAATACTGGGAAATTTAAGCATCTGCAACCGGGCAGGAAATCCAAGAGAATCGCTGTGCGAACATTGTAAGAGAATCCAGAATCACTCGAGTGTTTTCGTCTCTTGGTTACAGCACTGGAGTGGGACGCTGAGAGATGCAGGTTTCAGTTCCCGCTGAATTATGACATGATGGGTGAACTCACTGTCTATCAGCTTGACCTACCTCACAGAATCATTATGAGCTCACTGGAGAAAGGTGGGAAACAAATAACGAATGAATAACTAAACATATAAGGAGAAATAAGGTGGGGAGGAGCTCATTCATGAGATAGCTTTCAATTGAGTTATCACGAAACCAAGGTCATCCTAAGACTCTAAAAGGCAGCTTTAAATATAATGGATGACAACCAGGTAACCTACAGGCATTTTGGACTACAAATCCCACAATTCCTCAGCATTGACCGTGCTGGCTGGAGAATTCCGGGAATTCTACCCCCCAATGAGTCACATATACAAGTTCTTGGCTCCGGAAAGGTTAAGGTTGTTCATACAATAAGATATGCGTAGTCTGTCTCAGAATGCAGGGTAACACTTGAAACATGAATACAGTGGTGCCTCGCATTACGAGCGCTCTGTTTTACGACAAAATCGCTTTACATTGAAGATTTTGCTATCGCAAAAGCGATCGCAAAATGATGTTTCCTATGGGGGAATTTCGCTTTGCGATGATTGGTTCCCTGCTTCGGGAACCGATTCTTGCAAAGCAATGTTTTTTGGCCAGCTGATCGGCGGTTTCAAAATGGCCACCGGGAAAAAAATGGCTCCCCGCTCCTTTCTGGGACGGATTCCTCGCTGCACAGACAGCGAAAATGGTCGCGCTATGGAGGATCTTCGCTGGACGGTGAGTTTCAAGCCCCTAGGAACGCATTAATCGGGTTTTAATACGTTTCTATGGGCTTTTTAATTTCGCATTACAACGTTTTCGTAAGACAGCGATTTTGCTGGAACGAATTAACGTCGTAATGCGAGGCACCACTGTACTGTATAAGCTGCATCGATATGACGATTACTACCCTGGATTTATATTTTTCTTTTCCCTTGGATTCAACCTGAACAGCATCAGAGTTCTTGGCCGATCGGCACAGCAAACACTGAGCAAAGAGGATCAAACTGTCACTTTTCTGCAGGCAAGCCTTCCTCCTCAATATGAAAGAGCAGCCAAAAATGAAAATGTACAGGCCAAATGCCAGTTTTTTAAAAAAACGAGGCACAAAACCTGCTCAGTCTTTTGCATAACCCCACAGAGGATGCAACAGAAGGATTGCACAATAGTTTCTGGAAAGAGTTAGGATGAGACCACCCCAATCAGTTCATGTTTTGGTCGTCCAATCGACCACACGCCGTCTCCTCACCTTGTCACCCCACCTTCCTCGTTTCTGCGGTGCCTTTGCTGAACAGAATGTGTGACCTTCTCATAAAGGACAGTATCCATCCAGTCAGAATTGTTTGATCGCAGCACGGCAGTGGGCTGTTTGTGCAGCATCACAAATCCGGCCACACAAGTAAGAAATTTCATTGCAAGTGCAATGTTTTCCAATGGCAACGGTGGTCAGGAGGCTGCTGCGAGTCATCAAATGCTGAGTAATCAGAGCTGTCAATGCCAATGCATCCACTGGCCAGCCCTGGTTTTCTTTTCTTTCTTGGTTTCTAATACTCCTGGGAAATCGCAATCAACTCTTAACACATTAGGAGCAGTGGGAAGTGGGCACAGGGTAGCAACACCCGGAAGTCTCAACTTCCAGATGTGGTGGAGCCTTAAACACCTCCCGTTTCAGAAATCTCTCTTTGCAGGAAGAGCTTACTGTCCCTGTGGATAGTACGATACAGCAGCCAGTACAGCTTTCATTCATCCATCACCCTCCAGATGGCTTGAACAACTCACATCATTCCCAGCAGCAATACTAGCTAGAGATGATCATAGTTGTTCAAGACCTGGGGATGCCAGGTTTGGGAGCACCAGAGCAGCCCAGCTTCACATCTCCATCTTTAGCCATGCTGTTCACACAGACTCTGTCTCGCCCACCTCAGAGAGGAGTTGTTGGGAGAATAAGTGGGGGGATAAAAACACCATGATTTAATTCTGATGCAATGTACACAGCCTTTATATCAATGCTGGCTGAATCACTGTGGTTTAAGTATTTGGTTGTAGTGCCAGAGGCTGGGGGGTTCAATTCCCCACTGTTGTGCCTTCAGGGAGAAGAGCCAGCCTGGGTGGCCTTGGGCCAGCTGCACAGTCCCAAGGCTGCCCCTAGAGGAGGGGAAGGGTAAAGCACTTTTGAGTATTCTCTACCTGGAAATCCCCAAAAAGAATTGCTATGAGTCAGAACTGACTTGACCGGGCATTATTATTATTTGTATCAACACACTAGGTTTCCCTTGGTTGAAATCCTCCACAGATTTGGGAAATGGTCTGGGTGTTACACCCAAACACAACTCCTTGTTATAAGGCCAGAGCGGGCAAGCTGCGGGCCTCCAGATGTCGCTGGACAGTCACTCCAAGAAAGCCAGCTTGTACAGGCAATAGCGAGCCACGCTGGTAGCCGCTGCTCAACATCTACAAGGGTCTGTCTTGCTGCTCTTGATCTAAAGGGTTTTTTTCTGGCACCTGTCAAAAGCAGATGTGGTTCCACATCCTCCCTCTCGAGGAGTCCACCCATTTTAGCTCCGTCCCTTTCTGCTTTCCGCAGCCTTCCTCATTTCAATGGACTCCCCACCTCTTCTCAGACAAAACCAGATAAAGCAGGTTGCACGGCACCCTCAGGTAGGAAGATCAGCCAATTCCAATAGTACAAGGGGTTAATTAACTGGACACAGACTGAGCATCACTAACAGTGAGGACGTGGGGGAAGGCTTTTTCTTTCTTTCTTTCTTTTCAGATCGAGGAATCTAATTTATGGCCATCCAAATTACGACGGCTTGCAACCGTCATCATCCATCAGCTGGCTGGGGCGGATGGGAGCCGGAGTCCTACAACAGCCAGGCGTGGAGGAACGGGCCTGTCGGAGGCCCCGGCTTGGATGATGGCTGCAGGAGAGCCAATCTCCTCGAAAAGCACGTTATTGGGAAAGAAACCCCCACCCACCCTCTGTCCCGGTCTGCGGTCCCCGGTGCGGGGGAGGATGCGCGGCACCAGCCCGGTCCCGCCCGGGGGACAGACGAGGCTCCTTTCTCTCTCTCTCTCTCCCTCTCCCCCCCTCCCGCTTCTGGCCTGCCCAGCCCGACTACCTTGATGTGCTCGCCCTCGATCTCCACCGCCTTCTCCCTGAAATCCACCCCGATGGTGGCCTCGGTGCTGGCCGGGAAGGCTCCGCCGCAGAAGCGCACCGTCAGGCAGGTCTTGCCCACGTTGGAGTCGCCGATGACGATGATCTTGAAGATGCGCGTCTGCACCGACTGCTCCAGGGAGGCCTCCAGGTCCATCGCGGGGCCCGCGCGTGCCCCTCGATCTCCACCGCCTTCTCCCTGAAATCCACCCCGATGGTGGCCTCGGTGCTGGCCGGGAAGGCTCCGCCGCAGAAGCGCACCGTCAGGCAGGTCTTGCCCACGTTGGAGTCGCCGATGACGATGATCTTGAAGATGCGCGTCTGCACCGACTGCTCCAGGGAGGCCTCCAGGTCCATCGCGGGGCCCGCGCGTGCCGAGGCGGGGAAGCGAAAGCCGGGG